AGGGGGTTCAAAAAATTGGGGGGGGGGGGGATTTTTTTTTCCTTTTTTTTCTTTAAAATTTTCCATTTTAAATTGGTTATTTCTGATTTATATATAAAAGCAAATAATAATGATATAGTTTGAATAGGTAAATTAAAATTTTTTAAGTTCTTAGACCACTTTCATTCTGTGTGAGAAACCTATGCTGTGTCAAATATTTAATTACAATCCAAATTTAGTGCTGTATCAAGCTTGAATGTTGTGTCCATACTTGCCCCAAATGTTCAGAGGTCGTATCAAGCTGCGCCCCAGCAGAGCATTTTATTTAATTTGAACTGGAAGACAAAATTATTTCAAGAACCAGTATTCTTTTTTGACATAATAAATAAAACTCTACAAAAACACATTGGCAATGTCAAAAACAAGGAGATATACAGTCAATGACTTAATCACAAATGAAACTACGGTCAATGCAATTTGACTGCAAGATTAGCACAGTTGCAGATTAAATTTCTGATTGAATCTCAGGCACTCAGCTATAAAATGTTAATGTCTTATCTTCTATTCTTTAGAATAAAAGACTATCACTTGTATCATTATGACATTATTTATTACATTTTTATACTACAGAAGTGCTTATTTTATTTATATAATCTTTTTATTAAGAACTAACTTTCTTAAAAAATCTAAATATATGACAAATGTACTTCAAAATTCATAAATTTGTATTCATTCTTTTTTGATTTTATACATGTTAATCCTTTTTTTTTAACACCAGTAGCATATTTCTGAACCATTAGCCACAGGAAAATTGATGAATTTATTACTTTAACCCTATGAAGTGGTTGATACATTTTATTGTCAAGATTTTGTTAAGATGAGAATATGCAAAGAGGAACATTTATTTCATAAAATAAATATTAATTTCTTCACATTAGCATGTATAAAAGCACATGCAGAAATTTATTTTTTATCAGTCAAGTAAACAAAAGTAATGAATCAAGTTACCAGAGAACACCATCCATGAAAAGCTCTTGCCTGTGATAACTAAATTTTCGTATGATTTTTTTAGAACAAATAATGATTTTTATAAGACTTTATTTATAGTGCTGACTTTGTATGGTTGTCTATATATCCTCTTTTTTATTAAAATTTATATTTAATATACATATCTATAAATATACACTTTACAAATGTTTAATGTTACATAAGGTTGTGTCCATGGTGATTGGAGTTTGTAGGATGTAGGTAGAAGTGAAAAGGAATAGTACAGTCTTTTGACACTAATGTTAGCACTGTAAGTGAAAGAAGGATTTCTAAGGATATCTTGATAGGTTTTACGGAGTATCTATTGTCAGTAAATGATTGTGATTGTTTATTTGTGATCTTGCCAGTTAATTATCCATATACAAGTACTTCTGTACAGATATATTCCTAAAAAACTTCAGCTGATTAAAACTTTTCTCAACTGGTTGGTTTTTTATGATTATGCCCCCGCCGTAGCGGTGGGGGCATTAAGTTTTACCCTTGTCCGTCTGTACGTACGTACGTACGTACGTACGTCTGTCCGTACGTCCCAAAATTGGTTTCCGTTCTCTAACTTAAGTTTGCCTCAACCAAATGTTATGAAACGTATACACAATGCTAATTACCACAAAACACAGATCAAGTTTGAATTTTGGTGGCGTCACTTTAACCGTTCTAGAGTTATGCCCCTTAATAAATGGAAAAAATTGCAAAATTTTTATTTTCCGTTCTCTAACTTAAGTTTGCCTCAACCAAATGTTATGAAACGTATACACAATGCTAATTACCACAAAACACAGATCAAGTTTAAATTTTGGTGGCGTCACTTTAACCGTTCTAGAGTTATGCCCCTTAATAAATGGAAAAAATTGCAAAAATTTTATTTTCTTCTAAATATCAAGTTATTTTTAAAATTGGAGTTATCTTCCTTTGTCCATGATTATAGTTGAATCAACTACAATGAATGCTTTATACAATGCAATGTTTAATTTTGACTTCCACTGATAAAACACAGATCAAGTTGAATTTGGGTAGTGTCACTTTAACCATTATTGAGTTATGCCCCTTTATAAATAGAAAAATTGCTGAATTTTTAGTTTCTGTTCTCTACTTAAGTTAGCCTCAACCAAATGTTATGAGACTTACACACAAAACTCAGATGAAGTTCAAATTTGGGTAGCGTCACTTTTACTGTTCTTCAGTTATGTCCCTTTATAACTATATGATATGCAAGCGGGGGCATCATCTGTGTCCACATGTGGACACTATCCACATTTATTATTTTCTGGTTTTCTTGTTCTCTGAATGGTAACATTTCAATTTCCCTGCAATTTTCTCTTTTGTATTGTAATTTCACGACAAATGTGACCAAGTTGAATATTGCAAATCACCAGAAAGCAAGACGCGTAAGAAGGTCAAACTTGCTAATATTTAACAGAAGATTGTTCATTTGCATCTCCTGATTGCATTTATTATATTGTGTAATTTTACCATAGATATGGGAGGACTTACAGCTGATAAATAAAATTGTAAATTTGTACAAAGATAAGAATATAGATATCAGACTATTTCATTTTTAATGTTTTCATTAGGATATCTTCTATATTTTTTTCTTTAAGAATGTTGCATTAATTAAAGAAGCAAAATAATCCAACACAATAATTGGTTTGATACTTTTGCCATCAACTTCAACTACCTAATAGAAGTTTTCAATAACAAATGAATTATACTTGACTTTTTGTAAAGTACACATATTGTTCCTTAATTATTTACTTACTACTATGTGAGCAGACCATAGCTGGTGTTTTGAGAGACCTATAACTGTTTTGTATTGTGTTTTTTTTTTTAAATTTTACATGTACTTAGATCTGACTTTATCTTTTTTCATATTACGTGTACAAATTTGAGTTAGTTTCTGTCATATTGGTTAACAATATTTATTGAAGTTTATGTATACTGTTGGTGAAATATATATAAGTATTTTGTGTAAATTAATCGTAGATAAGAGAGTGTGTAACTAAGCAATAATAGTATGCAATAACTGCTGAGTGTACATATATATTTGTAGATATAATTTATATTTTTGATACTTTTGTTTGTAATATTATTTGTTAACATTTAAACCTACATTCATTGCTTCGTTAAAGTAATAGTGGAACTCCATATTATCCTCAGTTACCTCTGGACGTTTAGCAACCAACAATCGATCAATCAATCCACAGTTTATTTGGTTTAAATGTTCAATCTAATTAGGAGCTCACAATTTGAAGCTCTAAAGATTTGGATAATATGTTATATTTAAGATACTTTCATTTAGATTTTACAAATATATGAAGGCATGTATAATCAGTAATATGTAAATTAAGTAACATTGCAAGATAAATAAATATCATTTATTTGATGGTGTATTGTTTGTTTTTTTAATTTGTTCAAAAGTCTCTTATTAGCATTTACTTTGTATCCAAGGCAACTTTTTGAAAGGCAGTACAGTTTGTTTAGAGAAATGAGAATACATGTTATTGTAACTTTTGGAAATCAAGGACAGTTGTAGTCAGGAAATCAGAACATATCATTTTGTTTGTGAATAAATGAACAAATGATTGTTTTCCTACATTGAATTTACAGAATAATAAATAAATGTAATATTTTTCAATAGATTTCTGTTATTTTTTATGTACCATATTTGTTAACAGTGAATACACACCTTTGTGAAGACACACCTTTGTCAAAGATGGTATGAAGGATCATACATAATGATATTTTGGAACCTCATGATTATCTTTAAATGCAGATAGGGTACTGTAAATTCAGAAATTATTGCGACTGGGTCGGTATCACAATTATTAGAACTCGCATACTGAAATCTGACACATATATTTGTATGAAGCTTTTCCTGCAACTGCAATAATTATTTTTACATTTTGGTCTCTCATGTCATATCGCAATAATAAATGCATGCAATAATTTCTGAATTTACAGTATATAAAACATCATTTAGACAGCTTACACTTCAGCAGCTTCCAAGTATTTTTCATTAAAGACATATTAATTTTACATTGTCATTGAGATAGAAGGTAAAACGTGTTATGGTACAACCAGCATCTTGCACATGACCATTTTTTACTGAAATTTAGACATAATTCTCTAGAGCAGACTTATTGATGAAGCTTCTCATAAATAATGAAAACAAAGTTTTTGTTAAGCTTAACAGCTGACTGAATATATGATGCCCTTCCACTGAACAATTTAGAATTGATGCATCTATCACAGTTATAATCTTAGTTAGTTTTGAAAGATAGGATTTCATTTTTCAAATTGCACACTTTCCATATTTATGAAGAAAGATCACATCAGAACCTAGGTAATTAATGCGTGTACATCTCCCAGTTGATACGTTATTCCAAAGCTTGCATTATCTATCAATATGTCCTTGATAGAAGGTTGCTGCTAAAAAAATAGCTATTTAACAAAGATTTAATGGAAAGGTGAAAGACATGTCTTAGATAGTTTCACAGACCTCATTATGATTTGGTTCTGTTAGAAAAGCCTGTGCTCAAGATAACCAAGGATATGTTTCATTAGCATTTGTCTAAACACTAGCAGCAGTGTATAGTCTATTATGAATAAATTTTGTTGAAGGCACAATGTGTCCACCTTTGAAGTTACTGTGAGATACCAATTTCTTACAGTATGCAGAAATTATTATGTCTTAAAATTTTGCACATCTTTTTGGCTATTTTGGTTTTCAATGCTCTTCAACTTTCTTTTTGAAAGAGTGTCACTGATGAGTCTTTTGTAGATTAATTGTGTGTCAGGAGAACACTGAAATATGTATGCACACTATCCTAATGATAAGCCTGTTAAGACACTATTTGTAACGGCTCTAAATAATTCCATGTAAACTGCAGTTTCTTGTCTATGCCTTTATTAAACCACCAAAAAGTAGGAAAGATTTCTACTATAAGATTGAAATTCAACACCATTAACTACTAGTATCATGTTAAATTTTTATTCGATGATCACAAGATCGAGTTTTCAAGAATAAAGTACATGTAATTTCAAATTTAAATGACACGTTTCATACTGTAAATGTTACTAGTATATTAAGAACAGTAAATTTTATTACTTAGACAAAAGATAACCTGAAAATGTAGAGAAGTGGTATCCATGCACGTTCTCGGCTTTACCAGTTCTGTGTTTAACATACACTTTATCTCCTGTCTTTAGCTCGACGAGAGAGTTCACCGTTTGAGCTCCATAGTTCGATTTAGCGGCATACCCTCCTGTATATAACTGGTCGTTCTTGTTTAGCTGAAATTGAACGTCATTGTTACCAGTCGCCATAATAGTGCAGGAAAATATGTAGATTCCATTCCGTGGAGCAGTAAATATTCCCGTTCTAGAGTCGTATCCACCTCCAATATTGATCTTTGCGTCATCAAACTTCACAATATCCTTAATATTAGACAGAGTTTGTGATGTTTTTAATGATGCAAAAAATGTTGGTCTTCGTTCGAGATCTAAAAATTAAAAAAAATGTCTATCAACCTTTTTCATTGGTGCACATTCGTTTTATTCGTTTTTTCGAGATGTTGTTGAATTATATTTCAGGGGATATGTTTGTTGTTTGAGATTATTCCTTTGTTAACGGAAGAAATGTGACAATAGTTCACGAATTAAGAAGCTCATATGGGCTATTTACCCATTGACGTCAGCTCTTCAACGTTAGAATTAGGTTTTCAATTTCAGAGTGTTGGCCTCGAGCATCACTGAAGAGAACAATAATGGTCAAAATTCGCATCTGGTGCTGTAAAATTGGTACAGTTAATGTTAAAATGAGTATACGTTTTTTTATTTTTACTTGTTATTATAAAGTTACTTTTTTCCCTCACAACGTGTTAACAAACTATTTTAGATTTGAAATAAAGATATACGACTAGTAAAACCTCTCAAAGTTGGTTAGTTTTCTGCACAGTGTGCTTCGTTCAGGCGTTTAAATTGGCGGTGCTACATTAAATCGTTTGCACCTCTCATTGCTAAACATGGGAATGAAACCAGACCGCAATTGTCATCTTGCACAAGGACAAGAAATAAATATTTTATTTTCGGTTATTTAGTATTTGATATTATAACTGCTCAGGCATAAAAAATAATGAGATGTGGTATGATAACCAATAAAACAACTATCCACCAAACTATCCAGACCAAAGGACAAAGATGTGAATATTTGGACAACGTTATAATCCTTGTTCAGTAAATAATAACATTATCTGGAAGTTATGATTATGATACAAACAAATTTATGGTGTAAAATGGACCAAATGGTAACGGCTTATTATTTCAGTACACCAGACGCGCGGTAAGTCTTCATAAGACTCACCAGTGGTGCTCGAATCTAAACAGTTAAAAAAAACACGAACACAACTCAATTCTACACTTTATTTTATCAATTAAGTTGTTTCCTATAGGAATATTTTTCATAAGTTCACGTTGCCTATCAACGCTATATTTCAGAATTTTGTCATAGTTTTAAACTTTACTCACCATCTTTTAAAGTAGGACCAGCTCTCATAATCATATGCAGAAGGTCTTCCGTCACGCATGTTGTTTTTCCTAAAATAAAAGTTGCATATAATTATAATGGTGTAATGGTTAAAAGCAGATGCTAGGGCAACAGTAAAGAGACAAACCACCAAACGGTTCCACCAATATAGATATCCAGAATTAGCATGCGATCTGAAACGATGTAGAAATTACTAAACCATATTCAGCTATGTCCTATAGGCACCAAATTTGAATGTAGAAGAGAGGCGAAGGATACCAAAGGGACATCCAAACTCATTAGTCGAAAATAAATTGATGATGCCATGGCTAAAAAAGAAAACAGACAAAAAGACAAACAACAGTACTCAAAACAACAAAGAAAACCAAAGACTCAGCATCACGAACATCAACATAAACTGGGGTGATCTCAGGTGATCCGGAAGGGTAAGCAGATCCTGCTCCACATGTGGCACTCGTCGTGTTGCTCATGTAAGTACAGACTCGGTGATATGTCTAATTCGGTATGAATAAAGGAACAAGTTAGCAAGAAGAGGAGCACAGTTGGTTCCCATGGGAATGCCGATCGTTTGTTAAAAAACACGTCCTCTAAACGTAACGTAACTCCGTATTGAAATTAAAAAATAAATAAATCAATAAATAAACACTTTATAAAATTCATCAGCCCGAAGCGCTTTTCTGGATTTACCTTCATCAGGAACGCTCAATGCCAAGTATGTATAATAAAAGAAACAGTAAAATAGCTTTATGACCAATACAGACTTTTACAAGCACCAACACAATTTACAAGTACTATAGCGATTGATTTCAACAATCTAGCACCAACACTACATGCATTTCTTCTTTGATTAGTTTCAACATGTACTAGGAGAAAAGCCGAGTCATACGGAATAACAGTCAATAGTTATTGATTTGAACCAGCGGGCCCGACGTTTTGACAACAATAACAAGCAGACAGTAACAAGCTCTGGTGTATGAATGGGCATTTGACTTTGGCTTCACGAGAATTGTTATATCATCACACCGAATGAGTGGGTATATTGGTTTTCCTCTGTCCATATGTCCGCGTGTCCTTCCTTCTTTCCGTCTATGAAAATGTCGTCGCATTTTTCCTAGGAACTACGAATCAGAGTTTCCAGTTATTTTGTATCAAGCTATATGTGAGCATATATTTCACATCCACCAATAGTCAAATTCTTGTATACTGATTACTAATAACGGGTGTATCATAAGTGAGAAATAACTCACAATTCTTACATCTTGTTAACAACAATGTATAAAACTTTGATACAAGTCAATATCTTACATAATTGTATTCTTACCAGGATTACAACTCGCCAATGCTTTTCCAACGTTTGCACACAGTAACAACAAGACAAGAGTTGTCGAAACCATTTTACTTGTCATGAAATGTCGCTAGTTTTGTTCTGTGAATTTTGTTCCTCAATTTGTCATTTTATATGATATTCCATGTAAAAGCTGCTGTAATTTGATATAATAATTACATTTTGTCACGCATATTTCATGTATTATTCCATTTTTCACTTGGAAGTGTAACAGTTTTTACATTGTTGAAATAACACTGGGTCAGGTATAATTCTACTGTGATATTATGATTCTCAAGAAATTTTCGAATGACGAAGATACCCCCCGCCCCGATTCACAAGTATTTCTTAGCTAGCTTTGTTATCCTTTTTGGTGCACTTTTATTTTAATATATATTTCTTTTAAAAGTTTTAACATATTTCTTGGGTAATGTCACCACTGACGATTCGAATGATTCAAAGATTTTTTAAGCTCTGCGGAAATAGATGCCATCGTTTCCTTTTATACGTATTTTCCCCAAAAAATATAATTCAACTGCACATATATTCGCTATTTGATTCAATCTTAATATAGTTTTTCAACTTTACAAATTAGCATCCTCCTTTGTACAGTATATGTAATTCTTGTGTTTAACTTTTTGCTCTAAATTAACCTTATTCTTTGAAATTCAAATGCAATTATTTTAGAACATTCCTTTTGAATGTCTTATTAATCCTATGTCTTCATTGAAAAAAAACCAAGCCAAAAAAGGGTCAATCTGTTCTTTCTTTGGCATAAGGGGTCATATAGCCAAAATGTTACTAGACTGCTACGAAGCAATTGGTCCAAATCCCACAACTCCTTCAAAAATTATGTATGTGGTAAAGATAGTATATTGACCAATAAATTGTACCAAGTATAAAAAAGGTTTTGGGAAAAAGGTGTCTTGAGTAACAACAAATAGTCAGAGATACATGTTTAAGCTCGTTTGGTACAGACATAAATATTATGTTTTCAAAGGCGCATGTGGCAGGGATCAAGAAAATTTATCCATAACCTTGAAACGGACATAAAAGTTTTGAAAATACCCACGATGGGCATACCTTCATTTCAAATGCGAAGACATTTAATAGGGTAGCGAATTTTCGCAGCATTTTTGCAATTTCTTCTTACTATCTCTTTGTATACATTGGCTGATGAATTTATTAGCCTTTCTTTCTTTTCTATAAAATGTATGATTTTTTTTTACTTTTTCAAGCTTTTGCTAAAAAAAAGATCACCTGCAATAACAAACGAAAAACAAAAATCTGAGATAACTGATTCCTCATATTTGTTATAACGAATTTAAACATTGAAAACAAAATATTGAATTCTACGTTACGATTTAATCCGTGATCACATTTTTTTTAATTCCTGATCTCGAATACAAATTATAATTTTCGTCGGTCCTAAATGGATTTTCGACAAAACCTTTAGACAGTCAATATAAGATCAACTTCACTATGGCCATAAGAAAAAACCCCAGAAAGAAACAATAAAGTCAATAATACACAGAAAACTTACGATTGAGAATAACACGAAGAAAACTCAAGTGCTCCGGACGGGCAGGCAATTCCCGTCCCGCTAATTGCTCTTGTTATATAATGTTAAGAAAGTGGGAGGAAAAATACAACTGACCCTTCTAGAAAAGGAGCATACATGCATCCATCAACTGATTGACATCATTTACCATAATAAATGACAAACCCATGACTGATAGTTTTAAATGCTTTTTTTGTTGGCTGGCAGTCAGTCTAAATTCAAACACCGTGTCTAGTGTTTCATTGCGTTATTTTAAAGTACTTGATACTGCAAAAATAAGAAAATTGGGGATATTACTGTATTTTGTATATATTCAACATATTTTTAGAAATTTATTTATTACAATCTGTGATAAAGTATTTTTTAGCGGAAAATAATTTTACCCTTGTGTATCTACATTTCATTTTCACTCATCTATGTATGTGAAACCGTAATGTGGATATAAAGTGTTTATCACGATTTTTATTTGTTTGGTTTTTAAACTTGTTAAATGCAATTAAAACCATATCGGTCAAGGCAAAATAAAAGAACAAACCCTTACACATCATAGCAATTTGGATTATACTTGTTTATACTTATACAATGGTACAGTCAACATACAATATCACATTAAATATATTAGGACATATGTAGCCTGATTGTAGATACCGAGGGTTTACATCTGTTCCGACAAATTTACCGTGTGACTAAAAGAAATTGGATTTAAGCTATAATAGACTTAATATGTATTACTGGTAAATTATTAAGCCAGAGATTTCGTTACCACAAATTACTTAAAACCTTTACTAAATTCCTCCACAGATATAAAGATTTGGTTTTGAAATTTGGTTTTACCTGTAGAAAACTTATTTCAAACGGGATTGCACATCCTCATTTTTACGGCAATATTTTTTACCGTGCCCGGAAATTTAGAAACGATCCTGGTAAACTTATCGATCCTTTAAATAAACTTATTCTAAAAGGTTACCAATTCAACACTGTAATTAGATCACTAAATATTGTTTTTATTGGTACTAATATTGATTTTGTTATCAGTAAATTGAAAGCAAACTAAATAATATTGTTATATACATATACACATTCATGGATCTACAATCTGTCGATACCTTATCTTGGCATTGCACAAGGTCATGTTTTTCTCTGACTGTTTATGACGTCTTTACACTAAATCCATTGGCTGTTGGATGTGTATACGGATTGATAATTTAGTCTTAGATGCATGATTTTTTTTATAAGTTGTTAGTGGCTTTGAACTAGCTGTCAGTAACTGCGAGTACTCTCGGATCTGTACTTAGTGTCTTTTTGTTGTGTGGATGTACAAGTACCCGACCACGTCCACTTGATTTTGTATTTTTATCCATCTGATGAGTTTAGCCTCTTTCAACTGATTTTTATAGTTCGTTCTTATGTTGTACTGTTACACCACTGTTCCAGGTTAGGGGGAGGGTTGGGATCCCGCTAACATGTTTTACCCCGCCACATTCTGTATGTATGTGCCTGTCCCAGGTCAGGAGCCTGTAATTCAGTGGTTGTCGTTTGTTTATGTGTTACATATATGTTATTCGTTCAATTTTTTGTACACAAATTAGGCCGTTAGTTTACTCGTTTGAATTGTTTTACATTGTCATTTTGGGGCCTTTTATAGCTGACTGTGCGATATGGGCTTTGCTCATTGTTGGAGACCGTACGGTGACCTATAGTTGTTAATTTCTGTGTCATTTGGTCTCTTGTGGAGAGTTGTCTTATTGGCAATCATACCACATCTTCTTTTTCATATGACCAGATTGGTAGCCAACAGTTTTCATAGATATAAGTATCTAGAACATCTCATATACTTAATAACAATCTTATGAATTTTTTGCATGCGAAGGCTTTCACCGGTTTATCATTATTACGACGGTTGTCTATGGTAAGAAATCAACTAAACTTGTTTAAATTACATCTTACCCACCTGGAGTGTTTGAATCCTTATAGAATTTATCAGCTTTAGATGTTAGTAGAAATATGAAAACACCAGAATACAACCCGTATAGAATTCCCGTTGGTGAACTCTATAACCTGCGTGAGCTGTCTATTGATCTTGTGTTGAACGCAACGTTTGGACAGCCATTTAGGAAACTGCACAATTTACGAAAGTTGAGATTTGACTATTGCTACGTTGATATTTTATACAATGATACATTTTCAGATATGCCAGTTAATATAAAGGAATTCCACATGACAACTTGTAAACATTTTGTCGTCATTGAAGTTGGAGTTTTAGTACCATTTCCTCATCTACAAGTACTGAATCTTACTAACAGCAATATTCACTAAACCCAGGCTCTCAGAATTGAACAACCTTTTCAACATAAATTAATGGATGCAATTCTTTTTCGTGGAATAACTCATGGTAATATTAAACAGGACCTTGACGCGGTTGTTCTTACACAGGATATGATGAAATATATATCAACTATCTGTATAACGACCTTTTCTTAAATGTCCTGTACCAAGTCAGGAAAATGGCCATTGTTATATTATAGTTCGTTTCTGTGTGTGTTACATTTTAATGTTGTGTTTCTGTTGTGTCATAGTTCTCCTCTTATATTTGATGTGTTTCCCTCAGTTTTAGTTTGTAACCCGGATTTGTTTTTTTCTCAATCGATTTATGAATTTCGAACAGCGGTATACTACTGTTGCCTTTATTTAGACTTTTCTGACAATCAAATTATTTCAGTTAAAAACAATTCAATAGTTTCGTTTAAACATCCACAGTGCTTTGAACATATAATGGTATCAACTTATAGTTGTAGTTTAGAAACTTGGGCAATTAATCTTTTCTTGTTTGTATTCAGGATGACCAACATCAAAATGTTTGATTTTTCCTATTATTGCTAAGGTTCAAAAACCCAGTCTTGCTTGATGTGGTGACAAAAAATAACTATACAACAATCCAAAGACTTGAATACAAAGGCAGATTAGAGGTACAAAATATAACAGTTACGCTTCCGAACCGAATACAATTTTGTGAGAATAGCACATGTAATGGGTAGAAATTGATTCAGGGAATTAACAGTAATAAATATCTCCCTTGGGCATCTCGAAGTTTCTTATTTTGAAAAAGATGTTTTCCCAATTTTGACTGTAGAAGGATTAAATAGTTTGGAGCATTTAGATTTGTCAGGAATAAGTTTCGATATTACAATTGGAACGGGGAAATTCCACTTTTAATCCATTCGAAAACACTCATATTGAAAGAAACAAAATTGCATCTCCTTTTACAAACTAATTCATCAATATTAAGTCTTTGTCCTAATACAAAGAATTTGGATATATCATATAACTATATGTGGAAAATGAATTCGCTTTGGCAATTGCAGCATGTAAAACAACTCAATCTATCTTATAACTTGTTTGATGATGTTCCTGATGTAGTTACAAAGTTTGATATCCTTACCGAACTCGATTGATCACACAATCTATTAACTACATTTCGGAAGAATATACTTAATTGAATTGTTACCAAGCATACCAAATTTGGAAATTTTAAATTATATCTCAGTAATAATCCATTGATTTGTTCATGTGATACAACTACATTTCTGTGATGGATTATGACAACTAAAGTAAAGTTAGATAAAAATGGTAAATACTCTTGTTGTGTTTCTTCACTTAAAACTATCAACTATACCAGAAATGTTGCTGAAGACTTTCATCATTATTTCGTTGACTGTTATTCTACCGTTTGGATCAAGTTAGGCATTTCATTATTGGTTTCTGTTTTATCAAGTTTGATTTGTATTACGATATTGTACAATCTTAGGTAGAGAATAATTTTCTTTTTCTTCTGAAATATCCGGAGATTTGCAGAGGAGGGTCTTTAGCTAACTTTTGATTATGACGTTTACGTTTCATATTCGGACGAATGTATTTCTATTGAGAAAGAGTTACAAAAGAAAGTAGAAGACAAATGAGGTTTCAAAATTTGGTTCGAAGATAGAGATTTCATTGTAGATGAATCAATAGCTAATAAAAGAGCTACTTTTATTCATAGATGCAGACACGTTATATTTCTTTTCTCGCCATCAATTGTCGAAAATGAATGGACTCGTTTTGAAATCGAACGAGCAAAGTGTGAAAAGTTTTCCAAAAATCTGCATGAGATAGTTGTTATTACAAGAGATATCCCGTTGGATAATATTCCCGTAGAATTTTTCACCATTTGGGGAGATGTACTTTTAATTCAATGGCCATTCGAGAAGGATGAAGTCCAAATGGCTTGGCAAAAGCTTGGACTTTGGTTCTTTTGAAGTATTTTGAAGGTATAAATGTCCAGCTTAAAATACATGATACAGTGTTAAGCGTGTGCATATCTGTTCACATTTTTATTCATGTCTATTTATATGGTATGTTTTTCAGTGGATTATACACATCAGGTAGGGATTCCCCTGTTTCTATTTATATGGTATGTTTTTCAGTGGATTATACACATCTGGTAGGGATTCCCCTGTTTCTATATACATGCTATGTTTTTCAGTGGTTTATACACATCTGGTCGGGATTCCCCTGTTTCCATGTATAGTGATGCCAATAAATTTCCCCAAAAGTCCCAAGGTCAAGGCAGTGATACAGAAAGTGGCCATCGGAGAAAGTAAGTCAGTACATAATTAAACTATGTGGTAACCTGGGATGCCACTCTGGAAAGATAAATTTCCTCAATTACCATCTATAGAAGAAAGAACAACTGTTTACATTCTGACAATAGATTTAAACATCCAGGAATAGATGTCATTAGAAGATACTGTTTTGTCCACCCTGTCCATAAAATAGAAAAAGAATAAGGCTGAAACAATTTAACGACAAAATATGACAATTCATATTGAATATAAAAAGAGAGGCGAAGGATACCAAAGGGACATTCAAACTCATAAGTACAAAATAAACTAACAAGGCCATGGCTAAAAGAAAAAGACAAACAGACAAACAACAGTACACAAATACATAGAAAACCAAAGACTAAGCAACACAAACCCTGCCAGAAACTGGGTATAAATATTTAGTGCATTTTCAGTCTTATTTTTTTCCTATATATATATATGTATTACAACATGTTTGTGTCTTTCATAACTATTTACAAATACCAGATACGAAACAAGTTCTTTTTTCATTCATACTCTCTTGCAGCTCTAAAATGTTGTGGATATACATGTAGTTAGATTTTAAGTCCGGCTTTTGTTCATTTCGTTCACATTTCCAAAGCAAAATGTAAAGGAAAATGAATTAAAATATCTTTAATACATTACTCATATATTTCCTAAGTTAGGCTTTTAAACAAAACATTTATGCTACTATTAAAATTTGAATTTCATAAACATTTTGAATATGCATGTATTTGACCTTGTTGTAGGGTATGAATGATTTGTTCATTGTTGAAGACCCTACATCAACTGTCAAGATGAAGAACAGGAATAAAAACCCTGTTCATTGATAATTTTCTATGTTTTCTATGTATTGTGTGCGATTTTGTCCCATGTACATTTACTCCATATCCTTTCATTTTCTATTAAGTAATAATATAATTTTTTCAGATATTTTCCTAAAAATAAAGGATCAGATAATGAAAGTGATGTCTCATTCTCTAGGAGGATAAGGTAAAATATTGTTTTCTGAAAAATAAGGTAAAATATTGTTCTAGCGAAAAAAGGTTTTATATTGTGTTTATACGACTGCAAAAATTTGTGGCTGTATAATGATATGGTGATGTCGTCCTCGTTGTCGTTGTCAGAAGACATTTGGTTTCCAGGCAATAACAAGTATAAATGTAAGGATCTCTATGAAATTGTACAACAAGGTTCAATACCACAAAAGGAAGGTTAGGATTAATTTTAGGGGTTATGGTCCAAATCGTTTAGGAATTGGGAGCCAAAAAAAACAAAGATTTTCTGGTTTCTGGACAATAACTTGAGTATTAGTCTATTGATCTCTATGAAATTGTACCACAAGGTTCCAAAAAAGGAAGGTTGGGATTGATTTTAGTTGGTTATGGCCCTAACCGTTTAGGAAAAAGGGGCAACAAAAACCCCAAGGATTTTCTGGTTTCTGGACAATAATTTGAGTATAAGTCTATGGATCTCTATGAAATTGTACCACAATTTTCCAAAAAAAGGAAGGTAGGGATTGAATTTGGGGGTTACGGCCCTAATCATTTAGGAAAAAGGGGCCAAAAACAATACTTTTCTAATACTTTTTACATTGTTTATTTCTTGACCAATTTCAATGGGGTTTGATTCAAAGTCTTGAATTCTTAGGGTTCTTTAAGTAGCTCAATCTAATCATGTATTTAGATTTTGGATTTTGGGCCCCATTTTCGAATTGGTCCACATTGAGGTCCAAAGGGTCCAAAATTAATATAAGTTTGATTTTAACAAAAATTGAATATATTGGGTTCTTTGATATGCTGAATCTTAACATGTATTTAAATTTTTAATTTTGGGTCCAGTTTCCAGTTGGTCCAAATCAGGTCCAGAATTAAAATTTTTTTTTGATTTCAACAAAAATTGAATATGTGGGGTTCTTTAATATGCTGGATCTAAGTGTATTTAGATTTTGGATTTTGGGTCCCATTATCAAAAATTGGTTGTAGTTTTTGATGAAGTTGAAGTCCAATCAACTTGAAACTTAGTACACAACTTAGTACACATGTTCCCCATGATATGATCTTTCTAATTTTAATGCCAAATCAGAGTTTTGACCCCAATTTCACGGTCCACTGAACATAGAAAATGATTGTGCGACTGGGGCATCTGTGTACCATGGACACATTCTTGTTTTCATATGTAACTCTAATTTAATTTTCCTGGTTTCCTAACTTTGTTGATGGATTTATTATAGAAAAGTTCCAAGGTTGATATAATCATAACTATTTTTTATTTGAGTAAAATTTGCAAAAATAAATAGCTGACAAAAATAAGTTGGTTTATAGTATAGTATTTGATATTTTTAGAAGAGAAGTAGACAGTGGCAGTGAATCTGATGTCTCGCCTGTACGGTCTAGGCATAGACGTCCTAAAAGTTCTGGAGACTGGTTTGAATCTCAATGGAAGGACGCCATGGAGGGGTAAAATCACTCACTTTAAATAAATAATATAGAATTTAAAAAGAAGTAATAATAATGAAATATAATACATTATACTGTGACAAAATTTCAAGTAAAAAAATATGTCTTATTGAGTTTCACAATGAATTGAATCAATGTAGAGTTACTCTTTATTTTTAAAACATTTTTTGTAGAGAATTTCTTTAATTTTGCAAGAATTCTTTTATTAAGTCCTTGTGGAATTTTGCAGATTTTTTTTACTAATATTACATATTTACATCCTCAGGTACTTACCAAATAAAGATACTCATATGAATGGGTAAGAATTTAATTTTATCATGAAATGTGATTTTAACTTCATATATGTATAAGGTAATGTACATAAGAAATAGGAAAAACACATTTTCAAAGAGGGTAACTGACTGTATTTTTTCTTAGATAGAATGCATTAAAACATAATGACATTTTCAAACATTTGAACACATTTTTTTTTTAATCATTATATCTTTCAATTTGATTTAACCAGAATATAAAGAACCTGCTTCTCTTGCTTGTTAATTTAACTTTTTTTTCAAAAATAAAGCTGTTATGTACTTATTATTCAAAGTATACATTCATTTTGTAGGTCCATACCTTCTATTAACTCAGCTCCAACAGGAGATGCCAAGAGAAGGAGAAGAAGGAGAACTAAATCTCCAGGAACAACCAAAAGACCTCCAGAGGAACTCAGAGAACATTTCAAGTGAGTATTAATTTCTAATACAACTAGAACTAAATCACCAGGAACAACCAAACGACCTCCAGAGGAACTCAGAGAACATTTCAAGTGAGTATGACTTTCTAACACAAGGAGAACTAAATCACCAGGAACAACCAAACGACCTCCAGAGGAACTCAGAGAACATTTCAAGTGAGTATGACTTTCTAACACAAGAGAACTAAATCACCAGGAACAACCAAACGACCTCCAGAGGAACTCAGAGAACATTTCAAGTGAGTATGACTTTCTAATACAAGGAGAAATAAATCACCAGGAACAACCAAACGACCTCCAGAGGAACTCAGAGAACATTTCAAGTGAGTATGACTTTCTAATACAAGGAGAACTAAATCACCAGGAACAACCAAACAACTGTTAATACTTATATATTATATAATACTACAAATAGCAGATATATAAAGATTTGTTGAGTGTTTCATTGGAAAATTTGAAAATTCCACTTCAGTCCTTATAAAATGACTTATCTTGGTCCAATTAGAACCTTCACGAAAATGATTTTCCCATGATGCAATGCTTTTCATTTCTTGTATTTATAAATTATAGTGGAACATACACTGTTATTTTGATGTAAAAACAAACAAAAACAAATTAATTATAACTTTTTTATTTGTATTGCTAAAAAAACAAATTCTTTTCACAAATTAATTATAACTTTTTTATTTGTATTGCTAAAAAAACAAATTCTTTTCACAAATTAATTATAACTTTTTTATTTGTATTGCTAAAAAAAAAAATTCTTTTCATAGGTATAATTTGGTGGACACTGAGGGAATGTCAGTAGAACAACTAAGAGATATACCATTTGTACAAGTAGAGTAAGTATATAACTTTATGACTGTTTCAAAAATATAAATAGTCCTATGATAGAGCATACTGTTTCAGAAGTGACTGAAGGTTCTGTTGTTTCAGAAGTGACTGAAGGTTCTGTTGTTCAAAGCATTTTGATTTGCCGGTTCATAAAATTATTTTGTCAACTGAATTTTGATCCTTTATCATTTATGTTAATACATTATTGACCTTCAAACCAAAATTGTTCCCATGAAAATTGAAAGAGATTCCCAATTAAACTAGCCATTATATACAGATAATAATATTTACTTTACCACACCTATAGTAGTAGGGGCATTATGTTTTTATTCGACCGCAAAAAAATTTTTGTGGTCGTATATTGGTATGACGTTGGCGTCGTCGTCGTCGTCGTCCGAAGACACATTAGTTTTCGCACTCTAACTTTAGTTTAAGTGAATGGATCTCAATGAAATTTTACCATAAGGTTCAATACCACAAAAGGAAGGTGGGGATTGATTTTGGGGGTTATGGTACCCACAGTTAAGGAATTAGGGGCCAAAAAGGTGCCAAAAATAAGCATTTTTGTAACTTCCAGACATAACTTGTGTGTAAGTGTATGGATCTCTCTGACATTGTACCACAAGGTTCCGTATCACAAAGGGAATGCTGGGATTGATTTTAGGGGTAATTGCCTCCAAATTTTAGGAATTAGGGGCCAAAAAGGGGCAAAAAACAAGCATTTTTCTAGTTTCATGACAATAACTTGTGTGTAAGTGTATGTATCTCTCTGACATTGTATCACAAGGTTCCATATCACAAAGGGAATGCTGGGATTGATTTTGGGGGTAATTGCCTCCAAATTTTAGGAATTAGGGGCCAAAAAGGGGCAAAAAACAAGCATTTTTCTAGTTTCATGACAATGACTTGTGTGTAAGTGTATGGATCTTTATGAAATTGTACTGCAAGGTTCCATATCACAAAGGGAAAGCTGGAATTGATTTTGGGGGTAATTGCCCAAAACGTTTAGGAATAAGGGGCCAAAAAGGGGCCAAAAATAAGCATTTTTCTAGTTTCCAGACAATAACTTGTGTTCAAGTATATGGATCTCTCTGAAATTGTACTGCAAGGTACCATACCACAAATGGAAGGCTGGGATTGATTTCTGGGGTAATTCCCTCAAAATTATAGGAATAAGGGGCCATAAAGGGGCAAATAAACAAGCATTTTTCTAGTTTCAGGACAATAACTTGTGTGTAAGTGTATGGATCTTTATGAAATTGTACTGCAAGGTTCCATATCACAAAGGGAAAGCTAGGTTTGAGTTTGGGGGTAATTGCCCTAAACGTTTAGGAATTTGGGGCCAAAAAGGGGCCAAAAAACAAGCATTTTTCTAGTTTCCAGACAATAACTTGTGTTCAAGTGTATGGATCTCTCTGAAATTGTACTGCAAGGTACCATACCACAAAGGGAAGGCTGGGAATGATTTTAGGGGTAATTCCCTCAAAATTTTAGGAATTAGGGGCCATAAAGGGGAAAAAAAACAAGCATTTTTCTAGTTTCAGGACAATAACTTGTGTGTTAGTGTATGGATCTCTATGAAATTGTACTGCAAGGTTCCATATCACAAAGGGAAAGCTAGGTTTGAGTTTGGGGGTAATTGCCCTAAACGTTTAGGAATTTGGGGCCAAAAAGGGGCCAAAAAACAAGCATTTTTTTAGTTTCCAGACAATAACTTGTGTTCAAGTGTATGGATATCTCTGAAATTTTACTGCAAGGTACCATACCACAAAGGGAAGGCTGGGATTGAGTTTGGGGGTGATGAATCATAAGGGGGTTCAACAAATTTGGGGGGGGGGAGGATTTTTTTTTCCTTTTTTTTCTTTAAATTTTTCCATTTTAAATTGGTTATTACTGATTTATATATAAAAGCAAATAATAATGATATGGTTTGAATAGGTAAATTAAAATTTTTTAAGTTCTTAGACCACTTTCATTCTGTGTCAGAAACCTATGCTGTGTCAAATATTTAATTACAATCCAAATTCAGTGCTGTATCAAGCTTGAATGTTGTGTCCATACTTGCCCCAACTGTTCAGGGTTCGACCTCTGCGGTCGTATCAAGCTTCGCCCCAGCGGAACATTTTATTCAGTCTGTGCTGATATTATTCTGTCCATTTTTCTGACCCATAACCAATTAAAGTTTTGTTTTGAGAAAGTTTTCCACTAAGTTTTAGTCACATCAACTTGAAACTAAATTTGAAATGTTCATTATGATGTGAACCTGAAAGTAGTTCAGATATGTCTAAAAACAATCAAAAGTTTTTTGCTATGTCTAAAAACAATCAAAAGTTATTTAAATAAGCATGTTTAAAAGCAGTCAAAAGACATTTGGGCTATATATAGATATAAGAAGATGTGGTAAGAGTGCCAATGAGACAACTCTCCATCCAAGTCAAAATTTATAAAAGAAACCATTATAGGTCAAAATACGGTCTTCAACACGGAGGGAGCCTTGGCTCACACCAAACAGCAAGCTATAAAGGGCCCCAAAAATTACTAGTGTAAAACCATTCAAACGGGAAAACCAACGATATAGTCAATATAAAAAACAAGAAACACTTATGAACCACATCAACAAACGACAACTACTGAACATCAGATTCCTGACTTAGGACAGGTGCAAACAATTGCAGCGGGTTTAAACTTTTAATGGTACCAAACCTTCACCCTTATCTGAAACAATAGTGTAACATCACAACATAGAAAGACACACTATAAAATATCAATTGAAATGGCTTAACTCAATCAAAAGACATATTAACACCAGTGAACATACACTGAACATATAAATTTGATCTATGATACAATGTAAATACAAAATAAATAAACTAAGGGAAGAATAATTAAAGTAACATGTTATACCACTGTGAAATGTTAAAGAATTTAAGAAAAACAATATGCTTGAACAAAAATATCAGCCATTTGCAATTACTTTAAACATAGGTAAATGAAAATAATTTTATTGTTAGGTATACATGTACAGTTCAAATGGAGAAAGGAAATATTTTTACAAAATAGATAATTTTGATGTTCATAGTACGAAGAAGTGAAAATTTATAGTAATACCAAACACTTATCAAAGCTGGTATATAGACCAGATATATCCCTGAATAAGTAAACAATAAATAACAAAAAATCATTACAATTAGTATCAACAGATCAAATAAACAAGAAAGTACGATTTGAGAGTACTCGCAGTTACTGACAGCTAGTTAAAAGCCAATACAATTAATAATAAAAAAATCATGCATCAGAGACTAAAATCAACTAAAACACATCCCAGGGATTTAGTATTTTAACGTCATGGACAGTCAAAGAAGACATGGCTTGTGCAATGTATGAAAATCTTCAAAGTTCATGTCTAAAAATGTAGAATTTCCACAAGTCTGAAGTTATAATTGAATGTTGTTATGTTTAAGTATTGCAGTCTGGTATGCATCAAAGCCATAGCAGATCCTTTTCAAGTGCTGATTTTTTTTTACATATATTTTAGGACCAAAGCAGAGCCTTTCAAGGTGAAATATTCTCCAAATACCAGACAAAGATACAGATCTCCTAAAAGAAAAAGCTATGGGTAATTTTTTTTTATCCTATGTGCAGCATCTGTTAATAAAGAGCTAAAGACAAACTTCAAGTAATGTAAAAGTAATTTATAATGGGGTTGGAATCTTAACATGACAAACAAACTTCCATATGATTTGTTCTTGTAAATATCTTCCTTTATTGAAAAATTATTACTAGGAAAAAATATATTTCCATAAGTAATTTTAAAATTATGAAAAATACATTTACAGGTAAAAAACAGCATTATTTAGTTTTTCAGAGGCTCATCTACCTCTGCCTTACTCTTCCCTGTTATTAAAAACTTTATATTATAGGGAACCAGACCACAATGCCAATCTACCTCAGAGTTCTGGTGAGGCTGACTTACCTCCCCCTTACTCCTCCTTGTTACAGGAGGCAGGACAGAAACATTACTACAGTGATACAAATTCTTACAGGTTTGTAATTGTTATAGACAATATATTTGAAAATACATAAGCTTTATATTTAAAAAATTAATAAGGATATGCAATGCCAGCAGTTTGCACCTGACCCAGATGCATTATTAATTTGTTAAAGCATTTACATGAATACTCAATGATTATATACAAAAATGATATACTTACAACATTCTGATATTATGTACGAGTTTATGATCATAATAACAAACTATTTTCCATCTACATCAGCTGATATGGACCATGAGGCCAGTATGGACATTGAGTTCTTAATAAATTGTTGTTTATGAATTTTGTCTTTTGTCAAAATATTTCTGGCTGTTTTGATTCTTTCTTGGATATTTCCTACATATAAATTTGCATTCCTCTCAATCATTTAGAATGACCGTTAGATCTTCTGTCTCAGCCTTTTTCAACATCCTTAAAACAGTTTATGAAATGAAACTAAACCTCAATCATTTAGAATGACCTTTAGATCTTCTGTCTCGGGCTTTTTCAACATCCTTAAAACAGTTTATGAAATGAAACTAAACCTCAATCATTTAGAATGACCGTTAGATCTTCTGTCTCTTGCTTTTTCAACATCCTTAAAACAGTTTATGAAATGAAACTAAACCTCAATCATTTAGAATGATCGTTAGATCTTCTGTCTCGGGCTTTTTCAACATCCTTAAAACAGTTTATGAAATGAAACTAAACCTCAATCATTTGGAATGACCGTTAGATCTTCTGTCTCGGGCTTTTTCAACATCCTTAAAACAGTTTATGAAATGAAACTAAACAATCATTTAGAATGACCGTTAGATCTTCTGTCTCAGGCTTTTTCAACATCCTTAAAACAGTTTATGAAATGAAACTAAACCTCAATCATTTAGAATGACCGTTAGATCTTCTGTCTTGGGCTTTTTCAACATCCTTAAAACAGTTTATGAAATGAAACTAAACAATCATTTAGAATGACCGTTAGATCTTCTGTCTCAAGCTTTTTCAACATCCTTAAAACAGTTTATGAAATGAAACTAAACCTCAATCATTTAGAATGACCGTTAGATCTTCTGTCTCGGGCTTTTTCAACATCCTTAAAACAGTTTATGAAATGAAACTAAACCTCAATCATTTAGAATGACCGTTAGATCTTCTGTCTCGGGCTTTTTCAAAATCCTTAAAACAGTTTATGAAATGAAACTAAACCTCAATCATTTAGAATGACCGTTAGATCTTCTGTCTCGGGCTTTTTCAACATCCTTAAAACAGTTTATGAAATGAAACTAAACCTCAATCATTTAGAATGACCGTTAGATCTTCTGTCTCTGGCTTTTTCAAAATCCTTAAAAACAGTTTATGAAATGAAACTAAACCTCAATCATTTAGAATGACCGTTAGATCTTCTGTCTCGGGCTTTTTCAACATCCTTAAAACAGTTTATGAAATGAAACTAAACCTCAATCATTTAGAATGACCGTTAGATCTTCTGTCTCGGGCTTTTTCAACATCCTTAAAACAGTTTATGAAATGAAACTTAACCTCAATCATTTAGAATGACCGTTAGATCTTCTGTCTCGGGCTTTTTCAACATCCTTAAAACAGTTTATGAAATGAAACTAAACCTCAATCATTTAGAATGACCGTTAGATCTTCTGTCTCGGGCTTTTTCATCATCCTTAAAACAGTTTATGAAATGAAACTAAACCTCAATCATTTAGAATGACCGTTAGATCTTCTGTCTCGGGCTTTTTCAACATCCTTAAAACAGTTTATGAAATGAAACTAAACCTCAATCATTTAGAATGACCGTTAGATCTTCTGTCTCGGGCTTTTTCAACATCCTTGAAACAGTTTATGAAATGAAACTAAACCTCAATCATTTAGAATGACCGTTAGATCTTCTGTCTCGGGCTTTTTCAACATCCTTAAAACAGTTTATGAAATGAAACTAAACCTCAATCATTTAGAATGACCGTTAGATCTTCTGTCTCAGGCTTTTTCAACATCCTTAAAACAGTTTATGAAATGAAACTAAACCTCAATCATTTAGAATGACCGTTAGATCTTCTGTCTCTTGCTTTTTCAACATCCTTAAAACAGTTTATGAAATGAAACTAAACAATCATTTAGAATGACCGTTAGATCTTCTGTCTCGGGCTTTTTCAACATCCTTAAAACAGTTTATGAAATGAAACTAAACCTCAATCATTTAGAATGACCGTTAGATCTTCTGTCTCAGGCTTTTTCAACATCATTAAAACAGTTTATGAAATGAAACTAAACCTGAGAAGGTTCTCTTTCAGAAATTTGGTTGTTTAGTAATCTTACCATAAATAGATACAGTTATGTAAATGTACATGTAACACTGAATACTGAAAACCAGCTAGTTTACACAACGGATATAAATCATCATTTGTATGTCGAACTTTGCCCTTCTCTAATATGAATGTGACAACAAAGTTAGAAAGCCACAGAAGCATATCACAGGAAAATTGACTAGAAAGAGCTAAACAGGAAAACAAATATCTGCAAAATAAGCTGGATTACAGTATGTTGAACTTCTTTTGGTAAAAATATAATATACATAGACTTACTAATTAATATGGAGTAATTCAGAAGGTTTATTTTGTACTTTCAGTAACCAGAGAAATCCATTGTATGAACAGAGAGATAGATCAAAAGTAAGGAAGAAGTTATGTTTTTTCTCCTTCCAATTTTATATTTTATTTTACAAAAATGTGGTAATCAAGCTGCCTCAAGTGAAAAAAAAAGAATACGAAATACATTGAAAGATACTAACTTGGATTTTACACCATAATAATTTTGAGGTCATGATAAAAACAACTTGTGGAAAAAGAATTAAAAAAAAATTATGAAATTGAGAAATTTGTGTTACTGTGAAAGGATTTTTTTTTGTGGAAAACAAATTTTCATGAATTTGGTGATTCTTTCCAATCATTAAATTCATTACCATTTTCCAATTGTCTGAATGTGCTTATCATGAAACCATGAACCAACAATGTTTTCACAACCACAAGATTGATACAAAGAATAGCACTTCCGCAGTAATTTGATTTTAGAAAATATGAATTGTTGCAAAATCTGTTGTTTCCAATATATTAACATAACAGGGTTTTAAGCCTTGGTACCCAGATTCAATGTATCTAGTTTCATAAGATACTGTATTTATTTACAACACAGGGTTTTAAGCCTTGGTACCCAGATTCAATGTATCTAGTTTCATAAGATACTATATTTATTTACTACACAGGGTTTTAAGCCTTGGTACCCAGATTCAATATCTCTGGTTTCATAAGATACTGCATTTATTTACAACACAGGGTTTTAAGCCTTGGTACCCAGATTCAATATCTCTAGTTTCATAAGATACTGTATTTATTTACAACACAGGGTTTTAAGCCTTGGTACCCAGATTCAATATCTCTAGTTTCATAAGATACTGTATTTATTTACAACACAGGGTTTTAAGCCTTGGTACCCAGATTCAATGTATCTAGTTTCATAAGATACTATATTTATTTACTACACAGGGTTTTAAGCCTTGGTACCCAGATTCAATATTTCTGGTTTCATAAGATACTGCATTTATTTACAACACGGGGTTTTAAGCCTTGGTACCCAGATTCAATATCTCTAGTTTCATAAGATACTGTATTTATTTACAACACAGGGTTTTAAGCCTTGGTACCCAGATTCAATATCTCTAGCGTCATACGATACTGTATTGAGCCGTGATGATGCAAATCATTCTGATCAGGTTTGAAAGCAGACTTCTTCAGTAATATCTATCTGAATCTGTTATTTGAAATAATCTTCTTTTACTCAATAACAGTACTAGTAGAGGTACTAATATAAAAAAAATATTGCTAATATTTTATTATAGCACTTTATTTCTTCTACAAATTAAGAGGGGGAGGGGATCTGTTAATCTTTAAAGATTCAGCTTTAATTTTAACATAGACATGCATGGCTTTTATACTATATTTAAAAAATGATTAGAAATGATCAAGGTATCAACATATGAAGGATAACATATTATAATTTCTCTCAATTTTGATAAATACTTCGTAGAATCATATCTTTAAAACTCACATAGAGAATTACTAGTAATATCTATGAAAATGAGAACAAATAAGTGTATTGAACTCTATAGTATTGTTGGTGAAAGTGAAGCTTATATTTAAACAAAACAAAACAAAAAGAGAAAAACAGACATGGAAAGTACACTATATGTATGTAAAATAAATGGTATATGTCATTATGAGTATAAAGCTTGAAATTATTAAGGCACGGTACATACATTTAATTAAGAAATAATGTGAAACTGAACTGGTTCCTGTTTTAAATATACATCAAATTGACCATATTGTTATGCTTTGTGGTTCCTATGTTCACAATTCATAAATGGTTCAAAATGACATTAGGTGATCAGCCATTAACATATGATTTGCAACAGAAAGTAGTTTTTAACAATTTTTTTTGAATTATATTATCTTTGCTTGAATGTTAATAGTTTTTTTATGTGATTTTTAAGACATCCAACAGTAATAACACAGATCAAAGGATAGGAACACCTGGACAGAATTACAGGTAATACTTAGATTGTGATCATTTTATTAAGAAAACTTCATGTGTAACACTTGCATGAATTCAGAACATCATAGTTTGGAGGTTTACATTCCAGTATCTTTTAGCAATTGTTGACTTAAAATCGAGGAATGAAATAGTCTTCGGTTTGTGCGTTTTCACATGGCGTTTATGTGCCAATATCATTCATGATGTTTCGTGGAATTTTGTTTTATCTTGAACCATATAATATGCAATCTTATATAATATGGAAACTTATATAATACGGAACCTTATCATATCAGATAACAAAAGAATTATAATTTTAAAAACACAAAATGATTTCTTGTATTCACTTCACAAATTTTTGCTATATGAATGAATGTTGACATTTGATACCAACTGGTCATTATCAGATTGACACTTCCTATATTTATTGAAAATTATGAGATATTACTCTGTCATTTTGCTTTGTAAGCAATAAGTTTGTGATAGAATTTACAATTTTCTTAAAGTTAAAACGAAAAAACAGTGTTTTCAGAAAATTTTTCTGAATGCAATTATACTTTTAGTACCTCTTGTATTGATTGACTAAAATACTGGTTACCATGTTAAATGATGATCACTCTCTGCTACCACCTTTGTGACTTATTACTCTCCATGTATGAATACAGTGAAGGTTGGAATGTTTGTTCAGTAAAACATACGGATTTGATAAGCATTGCAGGAATAAGCACAGGACACAAAGGAAGGCAGATTTACTCCTGAAGTTGTTGGAAATTAACATGAGCAGAATGGAACATAGAGTATATTTAAACACTGTTTTTTTGCACTGGAAAAAATACACACATTTCTGTATGTTTAGTCTACATAATTTTTTGACAGAAGCAATGTGATGAACATAAGAAGTACAGAACAGAGAAGTCAAGGTCAACACCAGCAGCAGACAGGAAGAAGGTAGGTCATATGACATAGCATACTTAATCTACTCACAGTAGACAGTCAGATCATTTTAAAGTTTAATTTTATTCAGTTAATTGGTTTTTAAATGATTTTTTAATTATTTGCATGATTCAATTATTTTTGTATCAGGCTTAGCTAGAAATCTCATTAGAATACAATAAATGGATTTAGTTATTGTAAAATTAAAGAATCTTATTATTAATAAGTGAATTACCCTATCTATGGCATAGTGTTAAATATCTTGATTAGTGTTCCCATTTTGTCAACATACATAGTATTTGAAAATATCTTATTACCAAGGGGAATTGATACTTATCTCATTTATATTAGAAACAAGGTAATTCAATAAACATTTTGATGATCGTTTGATTTGTAACAATAAGTTTACATAAGTTCTAAATTATATATGGCAAAAAAAAAAAAACAGAAATAAAAGGTATTCTATAGTCGGTAAATATAAGATAACAAATTCATGTCTGATAATGAGATGCCAAGCTGGCTCAATAACTAAGTTCTGAAACTTTTGTTATATTCCTTCTTAACATTATAAATTAAGTGTTAGTATTTGTAAGAATCAGACAAAATTCAAATGAGAAACAAGTCTGATCCAAAGTTTTTATAAAGCTGTATAATTTAAGAATAGTTTTTAAATTTTCTTGTTTCATTGATCTTAAAGGGGCATTAGCTTTCAAATTCTTGTTCACCGATTTGACTCAAATTCTTATATTTGGTTTATAACATAGTAAATTGTATATCCAAATTATTAAAATGGTCATATAACCCGATATAAACATAAATATATATATAAATAGATAGCGACATGTGGAATTGGATTTGTCTAGGTCTGTTTGATTTCATATTGTAGGTTAAATAGAATGTTTATCTAGTTTTTACCTTTATAAGAATGGTTTTTAGTGGATCGATCAGTCAACCAAAACTCATCTCCAGCTAAGGGGTTAACTTGATGGTCACATGAATACAGGTTAAATGAGGCTGAGTTATTCACTTGCAAGTGAATAATTCATCAGCGATGTTTCTTAGTTTATTTTGACAAAACTGAACAAAATTGGCTGCTAAAAGCGAATTATTATTTCACTATTTCACTTTCATTAATGATTAAACAAAAAAAAAATCATATTTAAATTTTTCTTATATCTTGTAGCTTTTAACATTTTGAAATTTTTCTTAAGATTATTTTTGTCTATAACATTAGCATTATTATTTTTTATATCCTATGGAAGTTATCTCCCCTGAAATTGTAATTTGTTTTCATGCATTTCTTTTTACAATTCCATGCAGGATGAAAAATAAAGTTGAATTGTTTTTGTTGTGTGTCTATATAATTTAGACATCTATGAAGATCTATTTTGTAGGGTTTTTACCTCCATTTTCCTTCTTACAAATACTGACACTCTTATAATCAAGATAATAATGTGTGTAAATGATTCCTGGTGCAATAATTTTAGTAACAATTGAGTTCTGTCAATATCTTGTCTGTTTCACAGTATAACCAAGATAATATAAATATATATTCATAACTGTATAAATCACAGCATCACAACCACATCTGTTTCCATTCTCTGATCATGCTAACTTTACAAAGTTTTAGAAATATGTTGTGTGTAATTGAATTGTAAAGTTAGTTCATATGCCTTCTTTTACACTTTTTTTGCTATCTAAACATTTGAAAATTCAGAATTCTTTTTATAAGTATCTTTGTGATGTTTCCCACATAAAAGGTCTTACACATGTGAGTTTTGCTTCGTTTAATTTTTAAGACCAAATTTTTGCCTAAAAAATAGCCAAAATTAAACTGCTCACAATCCCTTTCAGTTGACAATTTATGATTTTTTTTTCTGAAATGACTGCATGTTACAGTAACATTTTCAATTGTGTATGAAATATTACAAATGTATTAGAGAGTGGAAACAAGTCATCCCATTACAAACATTAATCACAGTAACAAATCATCCACAAATATATTGATATGATTTCCGTGCAGCACACCACAACAAACAGCAGACACACAGGCAAACATACAAATAAACAACGAGGCAGTATCAGAGGAGTCCGACAGTGTATTTGAATCTATTACTTCTAACAGGTAAACTGTACACCATATATTAACTCTGATATTATCTCAAACTGTAGTACAAGATAACATTCAATATTTTCTTATTTGTAATACATCCTAGATTTGTATTATTTTTCATATACAAATTATTTGTGATGGAAAGTTAAATTAGATGCACAATATAGATAATACTGTTATCCAAGTAATTTATTTTATATTTTTCTCATAATTAACCCTCTCTAGTCAACCTTACTACAATTTATTATATCCATGCTAGCAGGGGGTATATAGATTTTGATCTGTCTGTCTGTCTGTTTGTCAGTCATTTAAGTTTCAAGTGGTTTTTACTTAATTTGGATAGTAACCTTACTTGGATATATGATCACTTATAATAAGAGAAAGATTGTCATTGATTATGAGGTCACTCTATGACTAAGAGCAAGGTCAATGTTAATATAAAAAAATAGACCAAAATTTGTGCAGAAGAGTGGTTTCCTGGATACTGAAACAATTTCTACTCATGGGATTACAATCTTGCTTGGATGTATGGTTATATTTGACAAGAGAAATATCCCTATTGGTTTTGAGGTCACTTTGTTTAAGGTCAAGGTCAAAGCTACTAGAAATAAATGAAATTTTGTGCAGAAAAGCGATTTCCTGGTGCAAAATATGTTGTCATATAAGATGATGATCCTTATTGTTTTTGAACTCAATTGTGCTAAGGTCAAGGTCAAAGTTATTAAAACAGATTTGTGTTAGACAACATTACTGTTTAAAATCATCACAGAAATGAATCATGCCTTAAAGTAAACTGAAAAACTATGCCATCAGGCCACTTTAAGCTTTTGCCCTTTTATTTGGTAGAAGGGGTATGTGAGCTTCCTCACTTAAGGTTTGTTAATTTTTATGAATTTTGAACTTTTCGATGTCCATAATAGAAATCAAAAGTAATATTTGTTTTACATTTTTACTTACAAATTTCAATTGAATAAATCACTTGCAAAACCAATATTTGATGATTCAATCAAACGAGGTGAAATATTTTTAAATCGCAACCTAAAAAATAATTAATTTTTTTTAATGGAGAATAATTTAGAAATCAAATATCTGATAGAAACATTGGTATGTATATTGCATAAATGTTAAGTGTGTAATACAAGCTTAATTAAGCATGTGTTTATTGCTAATATTGATTAAAATGTACTGTTTTATTTTCAGTTTATTTTGTCCTAAAGATATTATTAAAGGTTTTTTGAAGATTTTACTTTTGGGTGTGTTTTAGATCATTTGTTTGCATTCTGTGGTTGTAAAAATGTCTGGTGCATTCTATAACAAATCATTCTCAGATCATACTAATAATGATTGGATTTTTTATGACAAGGTGGTATATAATGGGAATTTTATTTTCAACTTATTTCAAAGTAATAAGATTTGGTAGATGATGTATTTCAAACATGAATAATCAATGAATATGAATTAAAAAAAAAGGGGTGGATTTCACCTCAGTGACACAGCAAGCCATCAACATGAGTTCTTGATAGAATAAGTCTTTTATAGCAGTCACTTTTATAATAACAAAATACTGGTGTTGAAAAAAATATTAGTTTATTAGAATTTGAAAAAAGCCTTTCCTAATTTTATAAGGAAGTGTTCACAGATAACACATTAAGAAATTTCTTTTACTCATAAACTAATCATCACTGATACATTAACCGTTTTATAAAACTTTTTAGATCTGTAAATATCTGTGATTAGAATTTTATTTTGAATTTCCTAATGTGCAAATTTTTCTGTTTTTTTTTAATTGTAAATTTTAACAGTTTCTGAAGTGTTACAGGAGAATCAACCAAATACCCACAGGTTCATAGTGTGCTTCATTATTTGAATTTATTGTTTATAAAGTTATGACTTATGTTATAAAGTATGATAATTATATTAACGTTTTCCAGTGTCCAAAATTTTATCTGTTAAATATTTTCACCAAAACAACAAATATTATGGTCGATTCCAATAAGAGTTAAAGCTTATTAGTTACACGTGGCTAGGAAAATTTCTTAATATTCATAAATACTTGGTCTAACTGACACTTGTATGTTCAGTTATATAGTCAAGTACACATGAACAAATATTTTTAAGTAAACTGAAAAGTTCTGAATTTGTGTTTGTTACGTTATAAATCGTTGGTTCCTATATTTGTTGTAGACAAGAACCATTTTCACAGTCAAATGAGAGAACTATTAGACAACCCCTGCCTCGATCAAATGAAAGGACTGCTTTCAGTCCAGTAAATCAAAGCAATAATTACCACAACACTTCAAATTCACACAGACAGGATCAGTACAGAACTGGATTATCTCCCATGGGTAGGACTGAGTTATCCCCCATGAATAAACAGGATTACAGGCAAACATCAAATAATCAGTCTAATGGATATCAGGGCTATAATCAGGGGAAACAAACCTCATATACAAACTATTCTAACAGACCTCTACCAGAAAGGCCAAATGAATCTTCTCTGGCTGACAGGACCTCTAGGAGTTCAGGGACTCCTGAAAGACCAACCACTAGAGGTTCAGTAACCCCTGAAAGACCAATGACTAGAGGATCATCAGGTACACCTGAGAGACAAACAAGACATTCAGGAACTCCTGAAAGGCCAATAAGAAATGCAGGAACTCCGGAGAGGCCTATGTCTAGAGGGTATGGAACACCAGAAAGACAAAAAAGAAATCCAGGGACTCCAGAGAGGCCTATGTCTAGAGGTTATGGACCACCTGAAAGAATATCTCAAGGAATGGCATATAGTCAAATGAATCAAGGCAGGTCTGTTGAAAGAGGGAATTATAACACATACAATAGAGAGCAGTCCCCAGGTAGTACAACAAATCAGACAACAATTAGACAGAATTTTAACACTGTAAATAAATTTGGTAATGATGATAAATCTCAGGAATACTCACAGAAAATTTCGCCTTCAGTTAGAAACACTGGTGTGTCTACTGATTCCAATTACTCATATCAAAGGACCCCTGATCGTAATCAACCCTCATCAAATGTTTATAGTCATGGATATGGAACTCAAGAAAGCATTAAAAAGTTGTACAGTTCACCAAAAGATTCTCGGGGCATGTATGCTACACAAGATAGTATACGAAGAATGTACAATAGTCCAAATGATTCAAATTATCGACCAAACCCTCCTTCGGTTAGGGGACACAATCCAAATTCACAAATGGTAAGCTATTTTCTTTACTATTTATATATACTTATTTGATGTTAGTTTTGTTTTTAAGGTGATGGAACGATTTTAGATTGAGGTGTACTTTTTGTCGAGCCTTCGACTTTTGTCGAAAAAGCGAGACATAGCGATCCTACATTCCGTCGGCGTCGTCGTCGTCGTCGGCGGCGTCCACAAATATTCACTCTGTGGTTAAAGTTTTTGAAATTTTAATAACTTTCTTAAACTATCCTGGATTTCTACCAAACTTGGACAGAAGCTTGTTTATGATCATAAGATTATATTCAAAAGTAAATTTTGTAAAAAAAAAATTCCGTTTTTTCCGTATTTTACTTATAAGTGGACTTAGTTTTTCTGCCAGGAAACATTACATTCACTCTGTGGTTAAAGTTTTTGAAATTTTAATAACTTTCTTAAACTATCCTGGATTTCTACCAAACTTGGACATAAGCTTGTTTATGATCATAAGATTATATTCAAAAGTAAATTTTGTAAAAAAAAAATTCCATTTTTTCCGTATTTTACTTATAAGTTGACTTAGTTTTTCTGCCAGGAAACATTACATTCACTCTGTGGTTAAAGTTTTTGAAATTTTAATAACTTTCTTAAACTATCCTGGATTTCTACCAAACTTGGAAAGAAGCTTGTTTATGATCATAAGATAGTATCCAGAAGTAAATTTTGAAAAAAAAAAATTCCATTTTTTCCGTATTTTACTTATAAATGGACTTAGTTTTTCTGCCAGTTAACATTACATTCACTCTGTGGTTAAAGTTTTTAAAATTTTAACAACTTTTTTAAACTATCCTGGATTTTGATAAAATTTTGTTCCATTTTTTCCATATTTTACTTATAAATGGACTTAGTTTTTCTTCCAGTCAACATTACATACATTCTGCAGTTTAAGTTTTTAAAACATTTATTAGATTCATAAATTATCCTGGATTTTTACCAAACTTGGACAGAAGCTACTTACAATCAAAAGATAGTATAGAGAGGAATATTTTTATTAATTTTTTCCTCAATTTTGTTGAGCCTGCGATTAACACCAAAAGTAGGCGAGACACTGGGTTCCGCGGAACCCTTACGAATTTTTTTATAGAAATATTCTTGAGAAATGATTTCAAAATCTGTCACCAGTTATATACTTGTATTGCAGGGAAAATTTTGCAATTATTTATCCAATTTAAGAAAAATTTAATGCATATGAAAAAAATATTGGAAAACATTGCAAAAGTTCTCTAATTACCTTGCATGTTACAGTTGACCTTTGTTCTGTTTTCAGAGGAATAATTTCACGTTGAATTATCTTCACACAGTGCCGACTGTTCTTTGAAGTTGTATGTTTGAGTGGCACTAAATACTAACTGTTTGATTTAATCAGTACTAATTTACTTCATTAAAGTACACAAACATAAGTTAACTATAAGTTATTAACATCTTCTTCAAAAACACATTAGTTGAAACAACTAATTTTTTTAAAAATAGATATTACAGTCTTAAAATTAGGATGACATTGTTGAATTTGTCAGTAAAAGATCAAAGTAGCTTTTCTTCATTTGGTCTCTTTGGGAAAGTTGTCTCATCAACAATCATTCCACAACTTCTTATTTTTATATTGGAAAATTATTTGGCATCATATAATAGACTTCTCTGCCATGTAAGATCTAGAAGAAGCTAGTTTATTCCACCTAATGGTGATTATGGTATACATCTGGCGATCTGTTAATAAAGGCAACAGTAGTATACCACTGTTCAAAAGTCATAAATTGATTGAGAGAAAACAAATCCGGGTTGCAAACTAAAACCGAGGGAAACACATCAACTATAAGAGGAAAACAACGAAATAACAGAACACAGAAGTGCAACAAAAAACAAACAACAATGCATCATTCATAGAAACCAACTATTAAATAACAACTGTCATATTCCTGACTTGGTACAGGACATTTTAAGAAAAAATGGTGGGTTGAACCTGGTGTTGTGGCTAGCCAAACCTCTGCTCTTTATGGCAATGTTAAATATACCGCTAAAATGACAACATTACGTGAAGGGAACAGAGTACAAATAAATGCAAAAACACCAAAGACAGAGAAATACATAAATAAATAATATAATAGTACATTTTGACATTTTAACCACAGAATAACAACGAATAACTAAAATAATTTAGGACAGTACACAAAAACAGCTTAATAGAATTACAAAGTGTGTGTCTGTAACACAAATGGATCAATGCCACAAAAAGTAACGTCACAGGTAAATTTCTAAAAATTGGATATAAATCAAGATTAGGTTTCTAATTATGGTATTTGATGTATTTTATAACAATTACGAGAATATTAATATAGAATTGTGTTAGTAATAGTGCAACTAACTATGTCAGCCTTTCTTCCAAATCAAACTGTGTAAAAACAAATAAATCCTGTGCACATAGTTGCTTTAAACTAAAATCATACCAATGAACTAGGTGATAAATTATCTTTACTTTTACATACGAATAAAAGATAGAATCACAACTACGAACGATAAGACACAAAACAGTATCCGATCAGAATTACAAAATCTGTTCATTAGTTTGTCCATTCAAATACTCTTAAACCTCTCCTTAACAAGTAAAAAAAATAAAATGAGTTAAGCATGGGTTTGAAGGAGGATATTGTCACTATAGTGTTGTGATTTTTGGGGTTGGGAAAATTTACCATTGCTTCCTAGTGGTGGCTTACTTTGCCACAGGTCTTGGGTTCAAAACCCCAGCATGTACAGTGGTAATTTTGCAAGACAAATTATCTACTGTTACATTTGATTTCCAAAATAATTGTAGACTTTGTCAATATGATAGAACTCTCCTTTCTACATAAATCAATGAATAAATTTTTATGAAACTGCCTATTGTATTTCTTATCTAAATGACTTTTAATGCCCCCGTCGTAGCGGAGGGGGCATTAAGTTTTACCCTTGTCTGTCTGTACGTCCGTCCGTCCGTCCGTCCGTCCCAAAGTTGGTTTCCGTTCTCAAACTTTAGTTTGCCTCAACCAAATGTTATGAAACTCATACACAATGCTTATTACCACTAAATACAGATCAAGTTTGAATTTTGGTGGCATCACTTTTACTGTTCTAGAGTTATGCTCCTTTACAAATGGAAAAAATGCTTAATTTTTCGTTTCTATTCTCTAACTTAAGTTTGCCTCAACCAAATGTTATGAAACTTATACACAATTCTTATTACCACAAAACACAGATCAAGTGTGAATTTTAGTGCCATCACTTATACTGTTCTAGAGTTATGCCCTTTACAAATGGAAAAATTGTTAAATTTTTCTTTTCTTTTTTTCTAAATATCAAGTCATTTTTAAAATTGGAGTTATCTTCCTTTGTCCATGATTATAGTTGAATCAACTACAATCAATGCTTTATACAATGCAATGTTTAATTTTGCCTTCCACTGATAAATTAAAGCAATTTTTTCCCTTCATTTCATTTCTAAAAATATTTTAAAGTCTTCTTTGAAAATTGGAGTTATCTTTCTTTGTGCATAGTGGTAGTTGAATCAACTACAACCAATGCTTTATTTATTTATGTTTCCGTTTTCTAACTTTAGTTTGCCTCAACCAAATGTTATGAAACTTATACACAATGAATATTACTACATAATACAGATTAAGTACGAAATTTGGTGGTGACCCTTTTACCATTCTTGAGTTATGTCCCTTTATAAACATAAAAATTGCTGAATTTTTCGTTTCCGTTCTCTCACTTTAGTTTGTCTCAACCAAATGTTATTAATCTTATACACAACCGTTCTAGAGTTATGCGTGTTTACAAATAGAAAAATTGCTGAATTTTTAGTTTCTGTTCTCTACTTAAGTTAGCCTCAACCAAATGTTATGAAACTTACACACAATGCTAATTACCACAAAACTCAGATCAAGTTCAAATTTGGATAGCGTCACTTTTACCGTTCTGCAGTTATTTCCCTTTATAACTATATGATGTGATAGCGGGGGCATCATCTGTGTCCACATTTTTTAGTTTATAGTACTAGGTTATGTGTTCTTTTGTGTTGAATAAACATCATTAATCTTGGCTAAAACTGAAGCTGTAAAGAAAGTAAACATTTCATCATTGATATCAGTGAATGATTAAAACTTGACTTTCTTTAACAATAAACATATTGAGAGTAAAAACTATAGTAATAATTAACTGCATGACATAGTTTTATATGGAGAGTCTTATAACAATACATTTAACATCATCACTACAAAACTTTGTTGGTAAAAATCTGTGGACATAATTAGCAATATATTATAACACTGAGACTGATTGCACTGTCACTCTGCCAATAGAATGGGTAAAGGTCACATGAATCACATGCACTCAGAAATATAGATTAGGTCTAATAAAACTTACATGATTTTGATACAACTGCATTGCTTTATTACCCAATACTGTTATATAAAGTGCTGACCATTAACAAAATCTATTTGATTGAATTCAACAAATATAATGAGGCTTTCAGATGGATCCATATTCATCTGTTCCTCAATATTTGCCTGAGTTCTGTTTTATGATATAAATTTCCAAAATACATTACATTATTGTTCAGTTAAAATTTGTTGACTTCATAGTTCATTTCACTGTTGGGGTGACTTGTGTTGGAGTAAGTTATACATACAAGTCCATAACTCAAATCTTTTTGAAGATTTTTCAATAACATCATTTACTTGGTAATCAATAATACTTGATACTACAAAATTGAAAAACTTTTAGGTAACCATGTCCCTATATTATTTGCTTATATAATTTGGGGATCATATCTCAGATAATGCTTCAATTTGAAAGTCCACTATAAGACAGATATTTCACTACTACCATGACTGCTTGAATGTTTTGTGGTCATCATCAACATTTAATCAGACATCTTTTTATATAAATTTCAGCATCCATCATCTCAACAGTTTCATCCTTCATATTCACCTCCTAAAAATCGACAAGATTCTCACAGAACTATGACTCATGAAAGAATTGACACAAGTGTACTGAATCAACCAAAATCTTCAAAAGGACGTAATCTGTGGACAGAAATATGAAATCCTCTACCAACCAAAATCGGAACAATGCCGTTATCTGGAGACAGAAATATTGTATACTTTGAGATATAGAAACTGCACAGAAATTGATTGTCCAAGTATTCTTAACCAACCAAACAGAGTTGTAAGCAAGGGAGATCTGTTGGCAGAAATATGACATTATTTACTGTCGGTTCATTATGATTCGTTGGATAACAATTTTCGTGGATTTTATGGGTACAGGGGAATTCCGAATTTAAATGTTCAGCAAATATAAGGTTGTATGCAGACTTTGGCAAACAACAAAACCAAAAATCCACAAAAATACAAGTTTTCCTTAATCCACGAAAATTGGTACCAATGAAAATAAATGAATCTATAGAATTATCAGTCACAGAAAATCACAATATCATGGTCATAGGACTTATGTCTATAATAAAACAAAATTTAAGATCGAGCAGAGTCAAAATAGATAAAGAAACAGTTTTAAATCAAGACAAATGTAAAATCATACTTATTCCATACATTCAAATGTGTTTTAGAAAATATGCCTGTCAATCTTAGGCCACAGCCTTATTTTCTGTTTGAATCATTTGACAGGTCATTATGTCCTTTTATTACAAAAAATGGTATGGTTAAGTTAGTTAAGTCTGAACTTTATGATGAGTAAAGATATCATTTTGTAGTTCTATTTTTATACATATAAACACAGAACAAAAAAGAATCCACTTTAACTTTTAATTGTAAGAGGTTTATCTTATTTCACCAGTATTTATTTCACTGGTAGGGTCAGAAAGTTGAGAACCCTACAAGGATTGATTAAAGATTTTTCAATAATTTTACATACATCCATAACATTAAAATTGTATACAGACTGAGTGCTAAAAGTTGTTGTTGTAGACAAATGTTTTGAATTTGCATGTTTTTGTAAATTTTTTCATTGGAGGACATTGTCAACCAACAAAAATCACCTGTAATTTATGTGATACTATTAAACTTTGGTTTTGATATATAATTCTCTTTCTCAATAATTGTTTGGACAAATATTTAAACTTTATCAAATTTGTTCAATATTGCAGTTTTGAGCCATCTTTAGACATTTACATATTCAGACATACATTATGATTTTGCTCAAAGTACACAAATGAAGCTGTAATCCTGAGAAATTTAGGTGAGATTTAAAAGACTTAAGAAAATGTGTAAAAACCATCAAACTGGACAACAAAAATATTTCAAGAACCTGTATTCATTTTTGACATACATTTTTGACATAATAAATAAAACTCTACAGAAACACATTGGCAATGTCAAAAACAAGGAGATATACAGTCAGTGACTTTATCACAAATGAAAATACAGTCAATGCAATTTGACTGCAAGAATAGCACAGTTGCAGATTAAATTTCTGATTGAATCTCAGGCACTCAGCTATAAAATGTTAATGTCTCATCTTCTATTCTTTAGAATAAAAGACTATCACTTGTATCATTATGACATTATTTATTACTTTTTATACTACAGAAGTGCTTGTTTTATTTATATAATCTTTTTATTAAGAACTAACTTTCCTAAAAATCTTAATATATGACAAATGTACTTCGAAATTCATAAATTTGTGTTGATTCTTTTTTGATTTTATACATGTTAATCCTTTGTTTTTTAACACCAATAGCATATTTCTGAACCATTAGCCACAGGAAAATTGATGAATTTATTACTTTAACCCTATGAAGTGGTTGATACATTTTATTGTCAAGATTTTGTTAAGATGAGAATATGCAAAGAGGAACATTTATTTCATAAAATGGATATTAATTTCTTCACATTAGCATGTATAACAGCACATGCAGAAGTTTATTTTTTATCAATCAAGTAAATAAAAGTAATGAATCAAGTTACCAGAGAACACCATCCATGAAAACCTCTTCCCTGTGATAACAAAATTCGTATGATTTTTTAAGAACAAATAATGATTTTTATAAGATTTTATTTATAGTGCTGACTTTGTATGGTTGTCTATATATCCTCTTTTTTATGAAAATTTATATTTATTATACATATCTATAAATATACACTTTACAAATGTTTAATGTTACATAAGGTTGTGTCCATGGTGATTGAAGTATGAAGGATTTAGGTAGAAGTCAAAAGGATTAGTACAGTCTTTTGACACTAATGTTTGCACTGTTAGTTAAAGAAGGGTTTCTAAGGATTTCTTGATAGGTTTTACAGAGTATCTATTGTCAGTAAATGATTGTGATTGTTTATTTGTGATCTTGCCAGTTAATTATCCTTATACAAGTACTTCTGTACAGATATATATATCTAAAAAACTTCAGCTGATAAAAACTTTTCTCAACTGGTTGTTTTTTTATGATCATTTTCTGGTTCTCTTGTTCTCTGATTGGTAAAATTTCAATTTCCCTGCACTTTTCTCTTTGGTATGTTAATTTCATGACAAATGTGACCAAGTTGAATATTGCAAATCACCAGAAAGCAAGAAGCATAAGAAGGTCAAACTTGCTGATATTTAACAACAGAAGATTGTACATTTGCATCTCCTGGTTGCATTTTTTATATTGTGTATTTTACCATAGATATGGGAAGACTTGCAACTGATAAATGAAATTGTAAATTTGTACAAAGATAGAAATATAGATATCAGACTATTTCATTTTCAATGATTTCATTGGGATATATCCTATATTTTTTTTCTTTAAGAATGTTGCATTAATTGAAGAAGCTAAATAATCCAACACCATAATTGGTTTGATACTTTTGCCGTCAACCTCCACTACCTAATAGAAGTTTTCAATAACAATTTAATTATACTTTTTGTAAAGTACACAGATTATTCCTAACTGTTTACTTACTACTGTGTGAGCAGGCCATAGCTGGTGTTTTGAGGGACCTATAACAATTTTGTTTTGTGAGTGTTTGTTTTTAAATTTTACATTTATTTAGATCTGACTATTTATTTTTTCATATTACGTGTCTTATGCGTCCAAATTTAAAAAAATAGTTTCGGTCATATTGATTAACAATATTTATGGAAGTTTTTGTATACTGTTGCCTGTTGGTGAAATATATATAAGTATTTTGTGTAAATTAATCGTAGATAAGAGAGTGTGTAACTAAGCAATAATAGTATGCAATAACTGCTGAGTGTACATATATATTTGTAGATATAATTTATATTTTTGATACTTTTGTTTGTATATTATATTATTTTTAACATTTAAACCTACATTCATTGCATGGTTGAAGTAATAGTGGGACTCCATATTATCCTCAGTTTACCACTGGACGTTAAGCAACCAACAATCTATCAATCAATCCTCAGTTTAATTGGTTTAAATGTTCAATCTAATTGGGAGCTTACAATTTGAGGCTCTAAGCATTTGGATAATATGTTATATTTTAGATACTTTCATTTAGATTTTACAAATTTATAAGGAATGAATATTCAGTGATATGTAAATTAAGTGAACATTCTTCTAGAATTTAAGATGAATAAATATCATTTATTTGATGGTGTATTGTTTTTGTTTGTTAAAAAGTCTTTTATAGGCATTTATTTTATATCCAAGGCAACTTTTTGAAAGGCATTTTTTTTTTATTAAGGGAAATGAGAACTCATGTTATCGTAACTTTCGATATCCAGGGCAGTTGTAACTTGTAGTCAGGAAATCAGAACACATAATTTTATTTGTGAATAAATGAACAAATGATTGTTTTCCTACATTGAAGTTACAGAATAATAAATATATGTAATATTTTCTAATAGATTTCTGTTATCTTTGTAACATATTTGTTGACAGTGAATGCAAACCTTTGTCTAAGATGGTATGAAGGATCATACATATTGTTATTCTGGTTTACATGATAATGCTGACAAGTGCTGTTAATGTAAGATTTCATCTAAGTACAGATAGGTATATAAAACATTCAGACATCATATGTTGTAGCAGCTTCAAGTATTTTTCATTAAAGACATATAAATTTTACATTGTCATTGAGATAAAGGGTAAAAAGTGTTATGTGCAACCAGCGTCTGGCACATGACCAATTTTTGTCGAGCCTGCAACATTTATGTCGCGAAAGCAAGACATAGCGATCCTAGATTCCGTCATCAATGTGCCCAAAATACCCTTAATTTCAATTTTAGTTTGTGGATTTTGTCTGTTATGAATAGCATAAGTGAATAGCCCAGAATTCAAGATGGTAGTACATTTATTTCAATAAAATTAAGAAAAACTGTTTCCTTCACACAGGGCACTCGTAGAATGTATATTTCGCACTCTTAAATTCTTTTGTGAAAGTTATCAAATCGCAAATTTCAATAGAACACTCTGAAACATACAAAATATGCCTCATTATAAAATCTATTAAGACCCTATTTCTATCAGCGCTTAAAAATTCCAGTCTATGCCTTTGTTAAACCACCAAAAGGTAGGAAAGGTTTCATTGTATAAACCCTATAAGATTAAAATTCAGAACTGTAAACAATTGTTTAATTATTCGATGATCATAAGATCAGTTTTCCAAGAATTTAGTACATGTAATTTCAAATACTGAAAATGTTACTAGTTCATTGAGAACAGTAAATGTTATTACTTGGACAAAAGATAACCGGAAAATGTAGAGAAGTGACTTCCAAGCACGTTCTGGGACGAACCATTTCTGTGTTTAACATACACTTTATCTCCTGTCCTCAGCTCGACGAGAGAGTTCACCGTTTGAGCTCCGTAGTTCGATTTAGTAGCATACCCTGCTGTATATAACTGGTCATTCTTGTTTAGCTGGAAATGAACTTCGCCGCCACCATTAGCCATAATAGCACAGGAAAATATGTAGATTCCATTCCGTGGAGCAGTAAATATTCCAGTAGTAGAGTCATATCCACCTCCAATATTGATCTTTGCGTCATCAAACTTCACAATATCCCTAATATTAGACAGAGTTTGTGATGTTTTTAATGATGCAAAAAATGTTGGCCTTCGTTCGAGATCTAAAAATTGAAAAAAAAGTCTATCATCATCCTTTTGAATTGGTTTGCATTATTGCACATTCGTTTTATTCGGGTTTTTGAGGTGTTGTTGAAATAGATTTAAGTGGGGTGTGTCAGTTATTTCAGTTTATTACTTTGTTAAAAGAAGTAATGTGACAAGAATAAAGAAGCTCATATGATTTCTTTAACCAACAGACGTCTAAAAGAATAATTTCTAATGACAAATCAATTCTAATTTAATTGTCTAAATCCAAATGGACAACACATATTTAACAAAACTTTGAATTTTTGAAATACTGAGGCTTTTCTACCTCAGGAATAGACTACCTTAGCTGTATTTGGCAAAACTTTTAGGTATTTTTGGTCCTCAATACTCTTCAACTTCGTACTTTCTTTGGCCTTTTTAACTTTTTTTGAAACCGAGCGTCACTGATGAGTCTTTTAAAGACGAAAGTACAAAATTTCAATCCTGGTATCTATGATTAGTTTATTTAGCTCCGCTTTTTATACGACCGGAAACAATTTTTTGGGATCATATAATGGTATGATGTCGTCGTCGTCTGCGTCGTCGTCTGAAGACACATTGGTTTCCGGACAATAACTTTAGTTTAAGTGAATGGATCTCTATGAAATTTTTTAAGAAGGTTCAGTACCACAAAAGGAAGGTTGGGATTGATTTTGGGGATGATGGTCCCCAACCGTTTAGGAATATGGGCCCAAAACAAGCATCTTTCTAGTTTCAGGATAATAACTTGTGTATAAGTATTTCGATTGCTCTGAAATTGTACCACAATGTTTAATACCACAAGTAGAAGGTTGGAATTTATTTTAGGGGTTATGGGGCCAACAGTTTAGGAATTAAGGGCCATAAAGGGGCCAAAAAACAAGCATTTTTCTAGTTTCCAGATAATAACTTGTGTGTAAGTGTATGTATCTCTCTGACATTGTACCACAAGGTTCCATATAACAAAGGGAAGGCTGTGATTGAGTTCGGGGTTAATTGCCCCAAACACGTAGGAATTAGGGGCCAAAAAAGGGCCAAAAACAAGCATTTTTCTAGTTTCCAGACAATAACTTGTGTTTTAGTGTATGGATCTCTCTGAAATTGTACTACAATGTTCCATACTACAAAGGAAAGACTGGGATTGAGTTTTGGGGTTATTGCTCCAAGGAGGGTTTCAAAAAGTTGGGAAGGGATTTTTTTTCCAAATTTTTTAAGGGATTCATATTTTTTTTCAAAATTTTTCAAATTTCGAATTTTTGAAAAGTTGCAAGAAGAAATCTTCAATTGCACCGTATTGCGCAATAGATTTGTAAGATCTTCGACCACATTTATTTTGAGTCGGAAACCTATATTATGTCAAAAATTTGATCACAATCCAAATTCAGCTCGAATAATGTGTCCAAATTTGCCCAAACTGTTCAGGGTTCGACCTTTGCGGTCGTATCAGGCTGCGCTCAGCGAAGCATTTTATTTATCTTTTGAATTCCAAAACTACAGATTCCAAGATTGTCTTTATGAAATTACTGTCATTACATGTAAACGCAACTGACGAAGTATTCGATAAACCCATAGATGTATAAAGGTTTTATACATCGATGATATACCAAATATCACCAGCCCATTAGGCAGTCCTGGCATGAAAACACGAGTTTTGTTTGATTGAAATTTGCTGTAGTAAAATTTGGAAATCATTCTGAATCCAGGAATATATCTCCCTCTTGCCTCGAGCATCACTGAAGAAACATTAATGGTCAAAGTTCGCATCTGGTGCAGTAAAATTGGTACAATTAACATTAAAATGAGTATGATAAGTTTTTTGTTTTGTTTTCCACACGTGTAAACAACCTATTTGGGATTTAAAATAAAGATGTAGATTAGTTAAACCTCACAAAGTTGCTTCGTTCAGGCGTGTAAATGGGTCATTTTACACTAAGACAAACAATATAGAGTTTTAGTTAATTGTTTTTGATATGATAATTTCCCAAACATAAGAATAATGAGATGTGGTATGATAACCAATAAAACAAAAATCCACCAAACTAAAGACCAAAGGACAAGGGTGTGAATATTTGGACAACGTTATAATCCTTATTTAGTAAATGATTCAGATTATCTGGAAGTTATGATACAAAACAGTTGTTCGTGTAAAAATGAAACAAATGGTAACGGCTTATTATTTCAGTACACCTGCCGTGCGGTTTGTCTTCATAAGATTCACCAGTGGTGCTCAAATCTAAACAGTTGGAAGAATAAATGCATAAAAAGAATCACGAACACAATTCAATTCTGCACTTTTTATTTCATCAATTACGTTGTTTCCTATAGGAATATTTTTCATTAGTTCACGATTATAGGCAACGTTGTCTTTCAGAATTTTGTCATAGTTTTAAACTTTACTCACCATCTTTTAAAGTAGGACCAGCTCTCATAATCATATGCAGAAGGTCTTCCGTCACGCATGTTGTTTTTCCTAAAATAAAAGTTGCATATAACTAAAATGGTGTAATGGTTAAAAGCTGAAGGCAGATGCAAGGGAAACAGTAAAGAGACAAGCCACTAAATGGTTCCACCAATATAGATATCCAGAATAAGCATGCGATCTCAAACGATGATCAAGTAACTAAATCTTATCCAGCTCTGTCCCTAGTCTAGTTTGAGTATAATTCTGCCCGTCTATGAAAATGTCGCATTTTTCCTAGGAACTACGAATCAGAGTTTCCTGTTATTTTGTATCAGCTTTATGTGAACGTATATTTGATATCCATCGATCATCAAATTCTTGTATACTGATTACTTATAGTAGGTGTATTATAAGTGAGAAATAAGTCACAGTACTTACATCTTGTTAACACTGTATTTGATACAAGTCAATATCTTATATATTTGCATTCTTACCTGGATTACAACTTGCCAATGCTTTTCCAAGGTTTGCACACAGTAACAACAAGACAAGAGTTGTCGAAACCATTTTACTTTTCATGAAATGTCGCTAGTTTTTGTTCTGTGAATTATGTCTCCATTTTTCATTTTTATAAGATATTCCATGTAACAACTGCTGTAACTTGATACATTAATTACATTTTGTCACGGATGTTTCATGTTTTATTCCATTTTTCACTTGGAAGTGTAACAGTATTTACAGCGTTGAAATAACACTGAGTCAGGACAATTTTATTGTGATATTATGATTTTCAAGAAATTTTCGAATGACAAAGATACCCCCGCCCCGATTCACAAGTATTCTCTAGCTTGCTTTGTTATCCTTCTTGGTGCACTTTTATTTTTATATATATTTCTTTTAAAAGTTTAAACATATTTCTTGGTTTATGTCACCACTGACGATTCGAATGATTCAAAGATCTTATTAGCTCTGAGGAAAAAGATGGCAATCGATTCAATTAATTAGTATGTTCCCTAATAAAACAATTCAACTGCACATGTATTCCTATTTGATTCAATCTAAATATATTTTTTCAACTTAAATAAATTGGCATCCTCCTCTTTTTGCTCTACATTTACCTCATTCTTTGTAATTCAAATGCAGTTGCGTTAGCGCATTCCTTCTGAATGTTCTTATCAATCCCATGTCTTCATTGTAAAGAAATACAAGGCAAAAAAGGGTCAATTTGTTCTTTCTTTGGCATAAGGGGTCATATAGCCAAAATTATACCAGGCTGCCACGAGGCAAATGGTCCAAATCTCACAACTTTTTCAAAAAATATGTATGTGGTCAAGAGTGTATGATGACAAATAAATTGTACCAAGTATAAAGAAGCTTTTAGGAAAAACGTCTCTTGAGTAGCAAAAAAAACGCCAGAGATACAAGTTTTAGGTTGTTTGGTACAGACAGAAATATGATGTCTCCAGAAACGCATGTGGCAGTGATCAATAAAACTTATCTATAACCTTTAAACGAATATAAAAGTTTTGAAAATACTCACGATGGGCATACCTTGAATTTAAATGCGAAGATATTTGTGAGGGTAGCAAATTTTCGCAGCATTTTTGCATGATTTTCTTATTTGTATCATAAATTTTATATCTTCTTTTTATCTTTTTGTATACACTGCTGATGAATTTATGAGCCTTTCTTTCTTTTCTAAAAAATTTAAGCTTTTGACTGCTAAAAAATACATCATCTGTAATAACTAATGAATAACAAAAGTCTGATATAATTAATTCCTCATATTTGTTAAAACTAATTTAAACATTGAAAACAAAATATTGAATTCTTCGTTACGATCATAATCCGTGATCACATTTTTTTTTTAAATCGTGATCTCGAATACAAATTATAATTTTAGCCAGTCGCCGCTTATTGCACTCTTTATATAATGTTAATAAAAGGGGGGGGGTGGAATACAACTGGCCCTTCTAGAAATGCAGCATACATGCATCCACCAACTTATTGAGTATTGCTTAAATAATGACAAACCCATGATCGACGTATGGACCTTATGGGACTGGTTATTGCCAACCATTGAATTTGGTTAAATACGTCGCTCAAGTATTCCAAGACTATAAAAACAATACACTGGAATTTTCGTCCATATCAAATATTTTTTACGGGATATAAAAAGAAAGAAATCAGGAATTTTTTATATATCACGTGGTTCTCAAAATTTCCGCCTGAATTTTCTCTGACATAAGATCACGTATAGAAATGTATCCCTTACCTATTATACGATCGATTTGTGTTATCTTTCATGGTTTTGATAATGGGATTTACTTTTCAATACACATTGCAGATGAACGCTCCATTATTCTATATCTAAAATGCTAACTTTTTTCGTTATCCATTTATCTATATTTTATGAGGAAAATATGTTTTAGAAGGATATTTTGCTGACAAGTTCAGAAATGTCGAAATCATTGTTTGTCTGGATTTGTCGATGATTGATTAAAGTTGAAAAATGAGATAAAACTATCACTTCCAATTCATTTCGAAGTTAAAGTATTTTCCATTTATTATAAAATTAATAAATGAATAAATTACCTATAGAGGTTGTATTTTAGAAGGTGTCCTCGATTATGGATTGTTCTGTGTTGTCTTGTTTAACGGGAACGACAGCTTAAAATGCTATACGAGTCCAAATACAAGACATTTACAGGCAAAATATTTTATATCCCTCGAAGTGCCTTCACATATAGTATTTTATCCATTTATTGATAAACAATTTATAGAGCACCGATTTTTTAAACTGCATAAATCATTGTAGTGCATGTGTCATAAGTCATAAGCATAGAAAGAAATTAGAAAATAAGATGATATGATTTCGATGCACAATGCAGTCCAAACGCACGCTAATATTTTCCTTTTCGGTGTTTTTATTCACAATGCAGTGTAGAAGATCACGACTTTGCTCAACGCAAAAATATAAGTATCAACAGGATGTTGGACAATAAGTGTTCATCGCATATGTAGTTTGAATATGCATATTCAGGACGAGAAAATAAATATGAACCCGACTTTGTACTAGACCTACAAGCTGGTCCAAATTTTTAACATGCTAGTTTATAAGGTCCACAGAATGACATGACACTCTACCCGGACACATTATTCTGACTCCGGACCATAAATTGTGCTCTTACTCCTTAACATAAATCGCGTGTATAGCACTGATGCAGCCAATATTTGATTTGAACCAGCCGAGTATCAAACTCAGGACCTCCAGCACCCGAGGCAAGCATGCTACTATTGGACCACAGACGTGGTTATGAATATTGAAGATACACATACATGTGCATGTGTGCCTCCTGACATTTTCACATTTAAATGTTCAGAAAACGACTTTATTTAGGTAAAACCCTTATTTGGTATATAATTTTTAAAAGTTTTAAAATTGGAACGGGATGGATGAACGGACGGACAAACAGACAAGAAAATATAATAATCCCTTGCTATCACAAAAGAGAGACAAAGGATACCAAAGGGACATTCAAACTCATTAGTCGAAAATAAACTGACAACGCCACGGCTAAAATAAAAAGACAAACAAACAAACTACAGTACACAAAACACAACATAGAAAACAAAAGAATGAGCAATACGTACCCCACCAAAAACTGGGGGTGATCTCAGATGCTGCGGAAGGGTAAGGAGACCCTGCTCCACATAAGTTGGTAATTAAAATAAAAGAATCCCACTCAACAAAACTACAATAAAAAGTTCCATACATGTCTGTGTCCGTTTTGCAGACGTATTTGTTTAAGTTGCACTCCAAACATTTCACAGAAACAATTTGTGAGCAATGACGTTAAATCACACCCATGCATCTTTAAAAAAAAGAAAGGAAAAATATACTGATTTAGTAAAGTGTAATTATGTATTTCTTGAAGATGCATTCCAATAAATTCCATATCCCATTTTATTAAATTCTACGGAAAGATGACAAAGTGCTATCAGATAGACGCAATTGTTATCTGTATTTTTGAGTCGAGCAAAAGTATCTTGAAATAATTTATAAAATTATGCTAAAAAAAGGAGTTAGTCGTGTACACCTTAAAAATGAGAATATCATCTCACTTCAGATTTCATTATTTTTATTATTTCAAACTTAATTTGTACTGCAATGGTTTTGAAAATTCCTCATTAGAGAACTAAACATATGGGTCAAATGAAATAACCGGTTCATTTGATTACTGTAACTGGATTATTTATTCCCTTAAAGGTCGTTGTCAATAAAATCTTCCAGAATTTGATAACAATTAAAATATGTAAAGATTTAAAAAAGCAGATTGGGTTAATTTTGGAATAACATCTATTCCAACATAATATATGTATTCAATGAGCAAAAAAATCAAGCAGTCTATGCCCCCTCAGTCATGCTTCAATGCAATAGGCCGAGATACGTTCAGATGCGTTGGTTATGTAGAGTAATGTCATTTTATTGGAAATCTCTATTAGGAGATAAGGAGGCTGACTGTACATATCAAGGATTTACATCTTTTCCGACAAATTTACCGCCTGACTTAAAGAAATTGGATTTAAGTTATAATAGACTGACCAGACTGGGTGCATACAGTTTTCATAGATATAAGTATCTAAAACATATAATACTTGATAATAATGTTAAAAATTTTTTTGATGCGAAGGCTTTCACCGCTTTATTATTATTACGACATTTGTCTATGGTAAGAAATCAATTAAATGTGTCTACATCTTACCAACCTGGAGTGTTTGAATCCTTACAGGATTGATCAACTTTAGATGTTAGTAGAAATATGAAGACTTTGGACCATTACGACAAATATGATATCCCCGTTGGTAAATTCAGTAACTTGCGTGAGCTGTCTAATGATCTTGTGTTGAACGCAACTTTTGGACAGCAATTTAGGAAACTACACAATTTACACAAGTTGAGATTTGACTATTGCCACGTTAATATTTTTTACAATGAGACATTTTCAGATATGCTGTTAAATATAAATGAATTCCATATGACAACTTGAAGTTCGAGTTTTAATACC